GTGTCAGGCGTAGGACTGCCTAGTTTGCCTAGCCTAGGTTCTGCACCAGCTCCGTTCCAAGCCTCCGCCACTGCCTCGCTATCCTTCACTCTCGACTCCGGTGCTTCTGCTTGTTTCTTCCGCGACCGCTTCACTCTCTCACCGCTTGCTGCGCCTGCTGTTGTCGCACTCGCCGACCCCTCTGCTGGTCCTGCCGTCGCTCGCAGCTCCACTTCCCTTCCCTGTCCCGCCGTTCCCTCCGGCTCCCTTACAGCCCTCCACGTTCCCTCGTTCTCCAGGAACCTGGTTGGTGTCGGCTGACTTCAAGACCTCGGCGTCACCACTACGTTCCCTAGGCACGAGCGGTTTGCTGTCTGTACCGAGGCTGCCACAGGTTCCCCCCTTGCGACGTTCCCCCGGGACCCGGTGTCCGGTCTGTTTACCCTCGACACCACTCCCCCTCCGGTTGGTGCGTCCTCCCAGGTCGCTGCAGCTTGCTCGTGTCGGTCTCTCACTCACCCGTCCCTTTTGTGGCACCACCACCTAGCTCGCCCTGCACTCCCGCGTCTGCATCACATGTCCCAGCACGGTCTTGTCTTAGGCCTCCCCGCGTTGCTCCCCACCCTTCCCCTCTCTCCTGCTCCACAGTGCACGCCCTGCGTCGAGGGCCGGCTCTGCCGTGCCCCTCACTCCTCCTTGCTTCACCTTGCTACTACTCCCCTTCAGACCCTGCACCAGGACGTTTGGGGCCCAGCCCCTGTCCCCGGACGGCGTGGCGAGCGCTACTTTCTTGTGCTCGTCGACGACTACACACACTAAACCACGGTGTTTCCCCTGGAGCGGAAGGCCGACGTGCCCGACGTTCTTCTCCCGTGGGTTGTGGTTGCGTGTCTTCACCGCGGTCTCCCCGTGTTGTGTCTCCACTCTGACCATGGCGGCGAGTTCACCTCTGGTCGGCTTGGACAGTTCTGTCATGCGGAGGGCATCACCCAGACGTACACATTGCCGGAGTCCCCACAGCAGAATGGGGTTGCTGAACGCCGCATCGGCTTGGTCATGGAGGTTCCTCGTACCTCCATGATCCATGCCGGTGCACCCAATTTTCTGTGGCCGTTCGCCGTTCGCTACGCCGCTCACCAGCTTAACTTGTGGCCACGCTCCCAGCGGCCGCAGGTTTCGCCGACCCTCCTTTGGACCGGGTCCCCCGGTGACGCGTCTGCATTCCACGTCTGGGGCTGCCTTGCTCACGTTCATGCCTCTGGCACGGACAAGCTCACTGCCCGCACTGTCCCCTGTGTCTTCCTCGGTTTCCCCCTGGACTCGTCTGACTGGCTTTTCTACCACCCGCCGTGTCACCGCTTCCTCCACTCTCGTAATGTCACCTTTGACGAGTCCGTCTCCTTCTACCGTCGCTTCCCTCACCGAGGTCTCCCGGTTACCCCCCCCCCTGTTCCTTGCCCCCTCTCCCTCGGTAGCCCCACCTTCCCTCCCACCTCGTCCTGCGCCGTCTGGGGTCTCCCATGTCACTCCCCTCCCGTCAGTTGTCCCTGTTGAGGAGTCTGCTGGCTCTGGTGGTCCCCCCGCCCCGCCTTTGCCGCGTCCCCCTTCCCTAGTGTCTCTGCCCCCGCTGTCGCAGTCGCCGCCGCCGCCGCCACCGCTGCCGCTCTTGGCCTCTGGGGGTGCAGGCCCTGAGGAGGGTGTTCATCCTGCGGCTCCTAGCGTGGTCTGTCCCGGTGGGCCTGGGGGTTCCGCTGGGGCTGGAGAGGGTTCTCGCTCTAGGGGTGTTGGTTCTGGGGGTGCTGCTATTGAGTGTTCTTCCGGAGGCCGTCGTGCCCCTGCCGGTTCGAGGGTCAAGCACCAGCCGCCGCAGTCGTCGCCGCCGGTCTCCGCTCTTCGCCTGCTCGGCCTTCCCTCCCCGGACCGCTCGCCGGTGTCTCCCCCACCTCCTCCTCACCTTCCTATCTACGGCCCTGTGTTCCCGTTCCCGGACTCCTCTCCGGCCCGTCTTCCTCCTCGTTCCCCCATTGTATCCCTACCGCTGTCTCCTGACCCTACACCTCCGTCCCACGTTTGGTCTCGCCGTCCCTCCCGTCTCCCCTGTCCCGCGCTCCCATCCTATGTTACTCCGTTCTCACTCGTCTCGTCCTCCCCTCCTCCCCTCGCCTCCTCCCTCGTAGCTCGTTGTTGCACCTCCCCCGCTGTCTGACTACCTCCATGCCGCTAGTCCCCTTGTCCCTCGGGTCCTTGCCTCTCTTGTTACAGACCTGTCTGTTTCTGTCTCCTGCCTTGACGCGCTTGTCGCTGCTGTCGCTGACTTGGCCTCTACCCGCCGCCTTGACTACGCTACCACTCTGGTCTCTGACCCTGCCCGTCCTGCGTCCGTCGGGGGTGCACCTGCCCTTGGCAGTGACGTACTAGAGGACAGGCAGTACGAGCTTGCTTTCCTTTCTGAGGCCGCTCCCCATCTCTGCTCCATGCTCCTAGTCCCAGAGGGTGACCCAGACGCCTTCGACATCCCGACCCCTCGCACCTACGCTGAGGCGACCTCGGGACCCTGGGCCTCTCAGTGGATAGCTGCCATGGAACAGGAGATGGCATCTTGGAGGTCCACCGGCCCTTACGTCGACGCAGTTCCCCCACCTGGGGTGAACGTAGTCGATGGTCGGTGGCTCTTCAAGGTGAAGCGCCCCCCTGGAGAGCCGCTTGTCTTCAAGGGGCACTACGTGGCCAGAGGCTTCAGCCAGCACGAGGGGGTTGACTTCTTCCAGACCTTCGCCCTGACCCCGAAGATGACCACTCTTCGGGCGCTGCTACACGTAGCAGCACAGCGCGACTACGAGCTTTACTCCCTCGCCTTCTCTACTGCCTTTCTTCAGGGCAGCCTACATGAGCAGGTCTACCTGCGTGGACCACAGGGCTTCACTGGTACCTTCCACCCTGGGACCCAGTGGCTTCTCCGGCGCCCGGTCTACGGCCTGTGTCAGGCTCCTCGCGAGTGGCACGACACGCTGCGTGCCACATTAGTAGACCTGCAGTTCTTTCCGTCCTCTGCTGACCCCTCGCTGTTTGTGCGTTCCGGCCAGACTTCGTTCTACATCCTTGTCTACGTAGACGATCTGGTCTTTGCTACTGCTGACAGGGACGCACTGGCCTCTGTGAAGGCCGAGCTGCTGAAGAGACACACCTGCACTGATCTTGGAGAGCTGCGTCGCTATCTTGGCCTGCAGATCTCCAGGGACAGAGCAGCACGCACCATCACTCTGACACAGTCACACTTGCTGCATCAGGTCCTTCAGACGTTCGGTCTTCAGTTCTCCTCCGCACAACCTACACCTCTACCTGTAGACCATGGGCTCTCCGCTCCCATTCCTGAGGAGCCAGTAGAGCCCAGCGGCCCCTACGCAGAGCTGGTGGGTTGCCTCATGTACCTGATGACTTGCAATTGCCCAGATCTTGCATACCCTCTCAGCATCCTGGCTCGCTTTGTGGCCATTGGCAGACACCGGCCACAGCACTGGTCGGCCGCTAAGAGGGTTTTGCGATATCTAGCAAGTACATCGGGCATGGGGTTAGTGCTAGGAGGACGCAGGCCGGTGGTCCTCACTGGGCACACAGACGCTTCTTGGGCAGACGACTCTGAGACACTTAGGTCGTCGCAGGGCTACTGTTTTAGTCTTGGTTCGGGTGCTATCTCTTGGAGATCCACTCGCTCGTCGTCTGTTGCTTAGTCCAGCTGTGAGGCTGAGATCTACGCTGGTACCATGGCGGCACTGGAGCTCCGCTGGCTGACCTTCTTGCTCACAGAGTTAGGTGAGCGGCCTAGCTCTGCCCCGGTCCTGTACGCTGACAACAGGGCCATGATCCTCCTGTGTCAGGAGCCTCGTCTTGAGGGCAGAGCAAAGCATATCCAGCTGCGGTACTTCCTCCTGCGCGAGCTACAGCAGCGTCGCCAAGCCCCTGTAGTTCACTTGGCCTCCGGTGCCAACATAGCTCATATCTTTACTAAGGCGCTTGCGCCTAAAGATCATTAGCGGCACTGCGTACAGCTTGGTCTTGTTCCTGTAGGTACTCACTAGTTAGTACCCTGATTGTGTATTCTCTACTATATATACCTGTCAGACTGGCCTTGTGGCCTTCCCTCCATTGGCTGGACTAGTAGTGCTGCCCTGGCTTGCTTTTGTCTTATCTGTAGTCGTGCTGACTGGTCTTTGGACCCCTGCCTCAGTGGTTGGACTAGTAGTGCCACCCTGAGCTGTGTGCTTCTTGCTTGCACCACCCCTTCTCTAGCCTAGGGGGTGTTTCAGCTCATACATGTTATGCATGTAGAAGTTATAGGCTAGCATCGGTATGTGCTCCTAGTGAGTACAACCCAACTGCTATATGTGTCATGTTTTCCCTTCTAGTAATTCATTCACGTATTCGAACGTAAACATATATTTGTATATGTTTTAGGCTAGATATGTGCATGCTCATAGAGAGTATATCTCCTTGAATCACTCATTCTAGTCTATTGCGTTATTCTAAGACTTCCCCCCCACGACAGGGTTCTCGCTAGGGCCCTCCCCTTTTTCTCGCTCTCGCAGGCCTGATTCATCGCGTTGGCAGTCATCCCACCAATCAGAACCTCTCGCAACATTGAACCCCCAAACCTTCTTTCGTGCACAACCAAGGTCCTCGGGCACTAGGAAACGTACTCGAATATTGGGACGTGGAGGCTAATATGGCCCTTGAAAGTTAGCCTAGAAAATGAAATTATGAACCTCTGAAAAAATAGAAATTGCAATCCGATTCGTCTGATTAAAAAAAAAACTTAACATTTGGCCGTCTGATCATCGGACGGGCCCGGAGGGCCCGTCGGATGGCCTAGAAAGTGCCTAGAGCCTAGCGAGAGCCCTGCACTCACACCGTGTCCATTCCCTCTCACCCTCCCCCACCACCCTCCCCCACCACCCTCCCCCCCCACCCTCCCCCCACTGCCTGAGACACCCAGTCTTCCCACCACCCCCGCCCCCCCCCCTTTTCACGTGCCAGGCATGCACTTGCCCCGCCCTGTGGACATGCACCTACTACCATTGGGCCCTCTGCTACATCGGGCAGCGTGTGTGTCTCTGCTGCTCCCACCCTTGGAGCAACTAGTGAGGCGACTACAGCACCAGTCTCCCTACACCCCCCCCACCCTTCACGTGCCGGGCATGCGTTTCCCTCGCCCCATGGAGAACCCTCTGGTGCCATCCGGCCCTCTCGGCCCTGGCAGCGGCTTGCTCCCACCCTCCACGCCACCGCCCCCACTGCCAATAGAAGCAACGGCTGCACCAGATTCACAGCCTAGAGCACCACCCCCTGGCCCCCCAACCCCCCCAGGAGATCCTCCTGCTCCTCCCCCGCCCCCTGTTGCCCCGTGCCTGCCTCCCCCACCCCCTCCTCCCCCTCTTCCCCTGCCCTTCCCCGCCCTGCCCTTCTTGCCGTGTGCAGGGGGCGATGCACCAGGCACAGCAGGGCAGGAGTCACAGAGGGGGTCTCCTGAACACACCTGTGAATGCGCGTGCTGGGGTATGGGGTTGGGGAGGTGGAAGGAATGGCATTGGAATGAGGACCAAAGTAGAGCATGCATGGAGTAGGCTTGTGTGAGTACACATGTGAGGTGTGTGTTTGAGGGAGCTGCAGGAAGGGGACTAAAGACAGGAGAATCGGCACGGTAATATTTGCATACATCTTACCCGCCCGCACTGCTCTCACCTGGCCATCACTGTCTGTCTCCGATGCCGGCCCTCCCTCGCCTCCACCCAAGTTGCTCTTCTCTGCCCGCTCCACCCCACCCTCATCCCTCTCCCCTGTGTCCCTATGAGCCTCGACCCTGCCCCCTGACTTCTTCCCCTTGCCTGCCCCTCCCTGCTGCTGCTGCTGCTGCTGCTGATGCTTCAATTGCTTCTGAAATGAAACACAGAAGAGAAAGATAGTTCAAGCTGCTTGCACCACCACAATTACAAACTTCCAACATCGATATCATGCTTCACTGCCAGATGCCTATCTAAAAGTCGCAACGGACAATTACGCACGTGTGCTTGACCCTATTTGCTACTATCCTGTTCTTTCCGTTTTTCCATGCCCACCCTCCGGATCACATTTCTTGAATTTGCAGGGTATTTTTTAGAATTCTCAAAAATACCCTGCAAGTCCAACAATTGTTGTGTATAATGAGTGTGACAGTGCTTAGCTTACTTTGGTGGGCTTCTTGAACAGCTTCACATGCATTCCACGGCGCCAGTCGTTGCTATTTAAAGTCTCTGCCTGACAGGTACACATACACATACACATAAACAAACACATACAGGTGGAGGGAAGGTTGGAGTCATTTTTTATGATTCTAAAAAACGTCCCCACCTGACAGGTTAAATACACGTCAGGTGGAGGGAAGCGAGGCACACGCACTTGGTGATTAACAGCACAGGGGCACGCACAGGGGCACGCACAGGGGGCTTGTATGTGAATGCCGAGGGGGACACACTGGGTTGGTTCAAACTTAGAACTTCCAGCAAATGTAATGTAACGACCCCATGTGGTGCGATAGCAGGTGAGTGGAGTGCAGCGGGTGGGTGAGAGATGGGACGAGCGGAGGTGCAGGGTGGAGCGGGGGGTGAGCGGAGGAATAGGGGTTTATGGGATGGATGTGGCATACCGCATTGAGGGCTTCTTCCACTGTGGCGTACTCGATTAGTGCATGAAACTGCCACAATGCAAGATACACATGGAGTCAAACGCATGTGGGACACGCACATCACATGCATGTGCGTGCGTGCATGCACACACGCACACATAAAGTTCACATGCATTATATATTTATCGCAGAAACCCCCAAGTGCATGCGCGCACAAAGAAGCATTTGAATGGCGAAGGCAAAGCCTCAAAGAAGACAGCCCAAAGTGCACTGAGCTCCTTCTTACAACCAAGGCCCCATGCACCCTCCTCAAAGTTCCCACCCTTACCCACGCCTCCCCTTCCGCCAACTCGTTCCCAGTCCATTACTTGCTAACAGCTAGAAATATATAATCCTGCACGTTGTGCCTCACCTTCCCACCCAATCCTGCATCCCCGCCGGCGTTGCTGCCATTGGCACTCACATCAGCAGCAGCGGAAGCGGCTAAAGTAGGAGGGGCAACTCGCACAAGGGTGGCAGCGGAAGCAGCAGGAGCCGCAGCGTGATCAGAGGCCTGGGGCCTGCAGAGACGCACCATGCGCACCCTGGAAGGGAATCATGCATGTTCAGGCACAGGGGCATGCATGCATGCACCGGGAGGGGAGGCGTGGAGAACGGAGGGCAACAAGAAGAACAGGGTTTAAGGTTTCGGGTAAAGGTTTAGGGGGGGGAAAGAAGTCCAGGAAGCCTGACGGTGTGAGGGGCGGAAGGTGAACAAAAGGCATGGGATGATAGCATCCCTTGGAGCCCTCCAAATTCTGGCTCCCTTCCACTCATATGCTGGCAGGTCAGCATCCGCCCTGTAAACGCCGCATCAGAAGCCTCCTAGCCCGAGTCATGCCCCCAAAGCCACCAAACAAACCTCCAAGCCTCAAATCTCAATGCTGACCTGCCAGCGTGGAGCAATCCTGTGTCTTGTGACATAGTAACGAGGTGCCTTGTGAGTGAGTCAACTCAAAAGCTGACCTGCCAGCCTGTGAGAAGAGGTCTTCTATGGGTGAGAGGGAGAGCGCGGGCGGCAAAAGTGTAGTTTTTTGTTAAGACGTCTCAAAACTACACTTGTATTGTATCCCAAAGCTGACCTGCCAGCCTGCTTGAAGAGGTCTTCTATGGCGGAGAGGGAGAGCGCAGGCGGGAGGTGGTCGGCCAGCACTGTGCGCGCCTGCAACTCGTCCACGTCCGTGAAGGGCAACGGGTGCACCCTGCGCACACGCGCACCGTCCTCACTCACCACCTGCCAGCACGACACGGCAGCGAAAAGCAGAGCAAGGTAGCTCGTGTGCAGGTCAATGGCAGCAGGGGTGGAGTCAGAGTGGCATCTGTCCTAAGCGAGATGACTTTTGATTTGACTTAAAAGTCTAGTTTTGAGGCGCCTCAAAGCAAGGCAAGTGCATGAAGGCCAATTGCACTTGCACTTGCACGCAGGACGGCAAGGCAGAATGGCACTTGTACTAAGCACGACACGGAGTGATGGCAGTGGCAAGGAGCAGCAAGCAGCAGCAGGGAGTGAGGCAGAGACCGACCAGGGTACTGGAGCCTTGACGAATGCCGTCTGCAAGCAGCGATGCAATGAGCGCAGCCCCCGCGTTGGCATGCGCACTGTTGGCAGGCTGCATGCTGGGTGGCAGCAAGCAGCGCACCTCGCTGAACTTGGCAAGGGACCTGAGAGAAACTGCATTGCATGGCATGGCATGGCATGGCGTGGCATGGCGTGGCATGGCATAGCATGGGTGGAAGGGAAGGGAAGCGAAGGGAAGCGAAGGGAAGGGCGGACGGCAGACAGCAGGAGGAGGAGGAGAGGGACTGTGTCAAGCTCACAACCACCCAGGGTGCAACAGCCGCTGACTCCACGCTATTGACACGCCCCTTTGGGACTCCAGCCTCAGCTCCACGGCACACTCATGTCACCGTATAACAACTTAGTCGGTCGCTTCACATGTGCGTCGATACTTAGCTTCAGAGCCCCTTAGCCACATTATCAAAGGTCCAACGCCGGATATAAAGGCCAGGCAAGGGGTAGAGGGCGCTCTCTGAGAATTTTTTGAGGCGCCTCAAAACCGGGATTGAGAAGATTATGGACAAGCACGCGAAGCGGATTGAAGACAAGTTTTGGAGGGAGCTCGCGCCAAAAATTGAATCCAATCTGATGAAGAAGCTGCTGAAAAATCTTACTCTCGGAGCACAGGACTCCTCCCGGGCCCCCGCTGTTGACTCGAAGCAAAAGAAATCGTCTGCCGGAACATCGAAGCCCTTCACTCCTGATCCTCAGGAGCGCCTCTCGGCTAATACGGCAACGGACTCGAAGCCGAAGAAGAAACGCGGGGGTAAGAAGAACAAAAAGAAGAACGGCACCGACAAAGACCAGCAAGCGGGTGGCCAGACATCTGAGAAGGCCAAGGGACCAAAAAACGGCGGAGGCGGCCCCGGAATAGGGCCGCGCAAGAACTAACCAGTCACGACTTGGCGCTCCGCTGGTTCGGACGGTTGACAGTGCGGCAGCTGTCGACACGGATCCGGAACCGGGGAGTACATAACCTCAGCTCCAAGGTCTTGTCTTCGGACGAGAAGAAGGGGCTGGGGTTGGGACTGAAGTTCATTCCAACGCCTGCCGTTTCCCTGTCTGGTGCTGTGGAGCTCGACCAGCTCCTACGCCAGATTTCGCTTCGACTTTTCTTCAAGGATGACGGCGGTCGGAAGGGGGACTCGCGCTTTCGAGTGCGGAATCCCGACTGGCTTCCTGATCGGATTCAAATTCCAGAGCAGGTCTTCAAGGATTCGTCATTCGACTTGTCCTTCCTGTTGAAGGCAACCCGCCCGATCCGACATCAGAACATCTCGTCTGGTGTTCGACGGGCGTTGCGCTCCATCGCTGCGGATCGACACGTGGTAGTGAAACCTGCCGACAAGAACGTCGGGATCACTGTCATGGACCGGAGTCACTACGTTCGCCTCTGTCTCGACCATCTTGACGACGCGACGACCTACACTCCAGTTCATCGAGATCCTACCGCCGACGTCGTGCGGAAGCTGCGTGATCTGCAAAGCGTGTGGGGACCTGCTTTTCCCGAGAGCCTTTGGAAATTTTTCTTTGACAAACCGCGCGGAGGATGGCGACCGGCGGCGTTCTACATCCTTCCGAAGCTACACAAGAAGAAACTCGCGGGGCGGCCTATCGCAGCTTCGCATTCATGGGTGACTTCGAATGTTAGCCGTTGGTTGGACGCGGAACTTCGACCACTGGTGCTTCAACAGCCAACCTACCTGCGCGACTCCCTCTCATTGCTACTGATGCTGGAAAAGACCGCCTTTCCTAAAGGAATACTTCTAGCTACGTACGACGTCACCTCGCTCTATCCCAGCATCCCACTAAGGCGAGGGCTCGATGCGGTGGGCAATTTTCTTCAACGAGGGAGAATCGTGAATTCTCAACCAGTCATGGCCTTGCTGGAATGGGTCATGATGAATTCTTTCGTGGAGTTCAACAGCCGAATCTACCAACAGACACAAGGGACTGCTATGGGAACTCCTGCTGCAGTATGCTTTGCTGTCCTCTTCATGAGCTGGCTGGACGAGATTCTTTCAAGGCGGTGGTCTGGAACTACACCATTGTGCCACGTGCGCTACATCGACGACGGGTTAATAATTTGGCCTGGATCGAAGAGCGAATTGGAGGAGTACCTGAACACCTTCAACACGCTCGATCCAAACATCAAGCTCACGTGGCACATTTCAGACAGTTCGGCTGACTTCCTCGACCTGGTCATCTTCAAGGGTCAACGTTTTGCCGAGCAGGGTACCCTGGATCTGAAAACTTTTCAGAAACCGATGAACCGGTACCTGTACCTGCCTTTTTCGTCATTCCACCCCCGACACTGCAAGATAGGTTTCATACGGGCGGAGCTGAAGCGTTACCTCTTGCGCTCGTCATCTGCTCAAACCTACTTTGCTTCTAAGCGTGCTTTCTTCCAGCGGCTAAGAGATCGGGGTTATCCGGCTGATTTTCTGACACCCATCTTCCAGAGTGTTCTCTTCCGACAACGCCCGCTCCTATTGGAGCAGACTGAAGCTCGCCAGGCACACCGAATTTCTACTCCCCCTGACCGCGGGCCCCTTGTCTTGAAGACGCTGTTTACTCCGTTAACAGCACGTCTCAGGCTGGGGGTCCTTTTGAGGCGCCTCAAAAATCGTCTCAACTCACGCGGATTTTATATGGGGAATATTTTCATTGCATGGAGGTGTGCACGTAACCTTCAAAAGTTACTTGTGCGAGCCAAGTTACCAAGGCTTATCGACAGTTCGGAAGAAGACCCTCCTGAAGACTGACACCTGCAACCTTGGGTTTTTACCCACTGCTGTGTTGGCGAATGCCCATTGATAGGCAATCTGGGTAGTTGATAATCTTGAGAATTGTTTTGGAGGGTGTGGGTTGTTACTTAGCTCATGCCTAGACTCGTGTTCTCTTATGTCCAGTAGCACTGATGAAGGCTCGGCGGGTTTGATCCCCGTAAGCCGAAACATGTTTGCGACCTGGTAAATTTGAGTGAAGAGTTTTTACGAAGCAAATCTCTGCCTAGGATTTTTTACTCTCGTTCTTGTTGCTCAAGCGACTGATTTCGCACTGCTGCTCTTCCCAAGACCATGAGTGACGACTATTGACACGCCCCTTTGGGACTCCAGCCTCAGCTCCACGGCACACTCATGTCACCGTATAACAACTTAGTCGGTCGCTTCACATGTGCGTCGATACTTAGCTTCAGAGCCCCTTAGCCACTTTATCAAAGGTCCAACGCCGGATATAAAGGCCAGGCAAGGGGTAGAGGGCGCTCTCTGAGAATTCTCGAGACGGCCGTGGGTAAGGGGTAGAGAGCGAGGTGACTTTCGAGTCGACCCTAAAGTCATCGCCTTACAAGGGGTAGAGGGCGCTCACCGAAGGTGATTTTTTAGTCGACTCAAAAATCACTTTCGAGTCGACCCTAAAGTCACCGCCTTGCAAGGGGTAGAGGGCGCTCACCGAAGCCTTGGGCGTCGCGGTTGATCATGCTGAGGAGAGTGTGGTCGAAGGGGAGGTTCTGGTCACTGAAGTAGAACTCCACCTGCCCATGTGCATGCATGGATGCATGGATGCATGGATGTTGCACACATGCACGCATGCACGCAGACGCACACATGCAGATACACATTTCGGATTTACAATGTGCAGATGCCTCTCCAATCAGACATATGCTTTCGCAACCCATACCACGCCATTCACCCTTCTCCTTCTCCTCCCCTTCTATTCCATGCTCCCCACTCGCCGTCTCCCTTCCGCTCCCTCCCGCTCCCTCCCTCTCCCCCCCTCTCCCTCCCTCTCCCTCCCTCTCCCTCCCTCCCCCTCTCTCCATCATTGCCATGCCATGCCACGCACCAGTGTCACCAGGGTCTCTTTCACAGCAGCCACTTGCTCCGGTGTCGCCTTGCTGTGACCAACCGCACCTTCCCCCGCCTCCTGCTTCCCTTTCACGCCCTTCTCCTGCCGCCCATGCGCCTGCCCATGCCCGTGCCCATGTGAGGCGTGTCCCTGTGCCTGCCCATGCGCCTGCCCATGCGCCTGCCCATGCGCCTGCCCATGCGCCTGCCCGTGCGCCTGCCCGTGCGCCTGCCCATGCGCGTGTCCCTGCGAGTGCCCATGTCGTTGCCCTTGCCCCTGCACATGAAAAGAGCTGCACTCTCGTGAGTCACACTGCACTCGCTTGCTTGACCAAGCCACACACCATCCGAGCGTGCACACACACAGCACAACCAAATCCCGAATCCCCCCAACATACTTACACGAGTCATTCCGCTCGCACCACTACCACCCGCCACCCCCCCGCCCCGCCCCTCTCTCCTCCCGCCCTCCGCCCCGCTTCCCCCCATCGCCACGAAACTCCCCTGCGCCTCCGCCCATCCCCCGAACGCCGCCCCAGGCGGGTTGAAGGGCAGAGGCAGCAGCGGGTGGTACGGCGGGATTGCCGCAGCATCTGCGCCTGACAGCGGGCCGAACCGCGGGATAAACACCGGCGCGTCGGCGTTGAGCGAGCTGCTGCTGCTACCGGCCGCGGCGGGAATTGCGGGAGCGACGGCTGACGCGCTCGATAACTGTTCCTCAGCAGCGGCAGCAGCAGCGGGAGCAGCAGCGGGAGCAGCAGCGGCAGCAGCAACGGGAGCAACGGGAGCAGCAGCAGCAGCAGCAGCAGAAGCAGCAGATTCAGCAGCAGCGGGAGAAGCAGCGGGAGCAGCGTCAGCAGGTAAATCGTCAACGGCGGAGGAAACACCCGCGGAAACTGACCCGGTTTCCCCCTCCCCCCCGGCACCGGGGCCTTGCGTAGCTGCTTCGCCCGGGCCTTGGGATTTCCCCGCAGGCTCCGCCGACGGGGTCTGCGACTGCGCCTGCGACGACGCGCCCGCATGCCACGTGGCACCAGCTTCCGCGTGAGAGGCGGAAGGAGGAGGCGGGGATTGCGCGAGGCCTTCCGCCGGAGTTGCTGACGCCATGGATCCGCGGGATCGAGGCGTGAAATCGGGCAACGTCCGGCGTGGGGTCAGCAGGGCCGGCAGAGTAGGCAGGGCTGGCAGGGCCGGCAGAGACGGAGGCGAAGGCAGTGCTCCCGCCGTGCCTGCCACTCGTCCCCGCAACCTCCGCTCGCCCGCAGCAACCCGTGTGGATCTCAGGAGCGGCAGCCTGAATCCTGCAGCACCAAGGGGGCTGTGGCGGTTGAAGAAGAGATCGGGGTGCAGCAGTTGCTTGGGAGTGTGTGCTACACAGAAACGCGGTCAAAGTGTTCGCTGAATAAGTGTGAAAATTTACGGACTTTCATAACCAGTGAGGTTAAACTGATGGCAAAGGTTAAATACCTTTCTTCATCCTAACCTCGAGGCTTCCACATTGCTGAATTATTTGAATCTTCATTCCATCGTTTCTGTAGCATTATTAACTCCTATTTTTCGGATGATTTTGCAAAATTCACACTACAATACAATTATACAAACCTACAAGCACAAACACACCAATCACTACACCCTACACATTCACTTGATCAGCGCGATACTTCCGCGCTTCTTCATGCACTTCCCAAGGCGACGTCTCTACTGCCTCCTGCCCTCTCTGCCACACCCGCCTCCCCCCGCGCCGCACGCCTTGCCACCTGCGCTGCTCCCCCCCACTGCTGCTGCTCCCTTCACTGCTGTGCGAGAGGAAGGGGCGGCCATACAGGGGCTCCTTGGGAGGAGGGGAGGAGTCTGTGGTGCTGCCAAGCTCGCTCACACTGCCAAAGCTGCGCGTGGGGCTCTGCTGCTGACGCTGTGGCCGAGAGGGGGTTCCTGCAGGACCAGATAAAGTGACATGAAAGGGACGTGGAGAAAATAATAATTTGATCATGGATGTTTAGGGTTTGGTGCTGAGCTTTGGTGTCAAAACAGCATGGCACAGCATAGTGGCGCATGCATAGCATGGTAGCATATGGCAAGGCATGTGGTCTCGTCTCACCAGGAGCTGATCTGCGAGCCGTGGGCCACTTCACTCCTGCAGGCGGCCACTCCTCCAGGCCCCCCACAACCCTGCCTCTCAACCCCTCTCCCTGCCCTCCCCCCACCGCCCCGCCTCTCTCCCCTGCCACCCCGGCCACCTTGTCCCCTGTGACTTTGGTGCGCATGGCAGCGGCGAGCACGTCAAAGTCTTGTGCCTGCAGCTTGGGCGGGGCCGTGGGAGTGGGCCGGGCGAGCTGCAGCAGCAGGTAGAGCAGCGAGAGGAGCGCCCAGGGGAGCAGGGGAATTCCCACACACAACTGCAGGCACGATGGTGGGAGGCAAAGAAAAACGAGAGAAAACAGAGAGCTGAGAAGGGGATAGAGGAGTAGAGAGATGAGAGATGGGAGACAAAGTTGAGAGAAAGAGGAAGCAAGAGATGATTCTGGCAGAGCGTCTCCCTCGTTGGCCACGCAATCCAAGCATCAGCTTTGCCTGACTCTCTGTTGTGCTCACCCATAGCGGCTGGCCTAGCAGCATAGCCAACTGCAGAGCACCGAGCGCCACGTTAGCTGCTCCTCCCAGCAGCAACCCCACACCCAGCACTCGATGAAGCAGCAGCCACCATGCATGGCGGGGGGACGAGGGCCCCGGCCGGCACAGCAGCGCGCAGAGCACTTCAATCACGAGGAAAAGGACAAGCGCACCGCCCAGGATCCCGTGCGGGGTGAGAAGGGCAGCGAGCCGGTGAGGGGCAGCAGGGGCTGTTGAGAGGAGGAGGGCGGCGTTGGTGGGGAAGAGGGAGGCTGCATGGATGGCAAAGGCGAGGGCTGGTACAAGGAGAAGGGGGGCGAGGAGAGCGGAGAGCACGTGCAGAGGGTGGAAGACAGGGCGATTGGAGTCGGGGCGAACTGCGAGGAGTCTGGGGGAGGGTGGCAAAGGGTGGGACGCAGAGGGTGCAGGTGTGAGGAAGAGAGTGGGGAACACAAAGGTACTCAGAGTTCACAAAAACGCAACGGGATACCATGCACAACGGGCATAAGATACATCAGCTGTGGTTTCACAGGCACCGACTGAGCGAGGGGTTAGCCCTGGCGTGGCAGATGCTTGATGTGGGTGTGAGGTGTGAGTGTGAGTGACCGACCGTGCAGCGACGGCGGAGAGTGGGAGGAGGAAGGAGAAGACGAAACCCATGATGGCAGCATGCGCCAGCAGCCAGGGGAAGGGCGACGCCTTCACTTGGGCCTCCCCTGACGCCCAGTTAAGTGACAGGGAACCCCTGTGGGGGTGAGAAGAGGGCACAGAGCACAGTGAAAAGGATGAGGCCTTAACATTGTTACTGCAGAAGAGGTGTGGCGAACAAGAGCAGAGACATGCAGGGAAAGGGAGAGGGAGAGGGAGAGGAGGGAGGGAGAGGGTGTGGTAAAATAGAAGAAACACAAAAATATCAGCGGAAAAGGGTATCAGAACAACACACAGCGTAGGGAGGGCAGTGGAGGTACCTGTGTTGGAGATAGTGGTTGGGCAGGGAGCCACCAGCAGCGGGCGAGTACACACCGGGGGCAAACGCCCACACGATGTGTGAGAGCTCATCCGCCCCTAGGGAAATATTGGGTGCGCCGTTGCGCTGGGTGTAGGGCCGCGAGAAGGTGAGCAGCGTGGACCCGTTGGTGCGAGTGACTGTGGCATTGGTGATCTCCAGCCCATTACTGCTCTGCAGGCCCTGCGCCGTGTGGTTGACCAGCACAAACGACCGCACCACGGGGGCTCCACTGGCCTTTCCCCGTCCCGCTTCTGCGCTCACTCCCCCTCCTGCTGCTCCTGCTCCTGCTCCTGCTCCTGCTCCTGCTGAACTGGAACTGGGAGTCACCCGGCTGACGCCGGCAGTTGCTTGGGTGACATCAGCAAGCACGACGTAGCTCCCAAGGGCTGAGCGGGAGGAGGGGGGAGTGAAGCCGAGAGAGAGCCACCCGCTGCAGTCCGTGACTTGCAGGGCGAGGGTGAGGGAGGAGGGGAAGAGCGCCCAGTGGAGGGTCACTCTGCAAGAGGAAGGGGGGGAGGGACAGAGTGAGGGAGAGTGAGGGGGGAGGGACGATTGGCTGGTCAGAAAAAGGGAGTTCGGCTGACAGCATACGAGAGAAAAGGGGAACGTGATAAAAAAATGATGAAAAGTGTGTGGCGCGTGTCTGGGAAAAGTACAGGCGAGGGCACGAGGCATGGAGGGGGTGCAGAGCAGAGAGAACGGGAGCATACCGGTTGCCTTGCAGGGCGATGGAGCAGGAGAAGCCAGGCAGTGAGGAGGGGTGGCAGAGGCCGGAGTTGAGGGGGTCGGATCCGAGGAAGAGGTTGATGCGCGGGAACGAACCCCGGCTGCTGCTGCTGCTGCCATGATACTTCAGCTCGTCCGGTCTGCCATGCCGTAGACAGACAGACAGACAGACGCCCACACACACACCCAGCATACATGTTTTCGCTTGTCAAAGTTCTTTGGAAGAGGAGGCATGAAGAAAAGGGAGAGATTTTGGATGGAAGGCATGGTAGCAGCAACGGGCGGCAGTGGCAGCAGGGATAAGACAAGCCGCTGCTGCTGGAAGCATACCTGTAGAAGGAACCCATCTGCTGCTGCACGAGAGGAGGCAGCGAGGGAGCGGACGAGGAGGAGGTGGAGAGGGTGGAGAGGGTCTGGGTGGCGGGAGTGGATGAGGATGAGAGGAGCGGGCCCACGGAAGGGAGGGCGGGCGAGGGCTGTCCGAGAGCCCAGACGACCGTGAAGTCACTGTCTGTGATGGCATGGTCGAATGCTGCATGGGGAGGGGGGGCAGGGGGGGTTGAAGAGAGAGGGAAGGATAGAGGAGTACATGAGCAAGAGCCCAGACGACCGTGAAGCCACTGCCTGTAATGGCATGGTCGAATGCTGTGAGTTTCGGAGAGAGGGGAGAGGAGGGGGGGGGGGGGGTAGGGTGGAGGAGTAGGTGGGGAGAGGGGAAATAGATGGGTTAGAGCGGTTGTCCAAGAGCCCAGATGATGGTGGAGTTGCTGCCTGAGATAGCATGGTTGAAGGAAGGGGGAAGAGGGGAGAGGTGGTGGGGGGGGGGGGGAGAAGGGCAGTGGTGGAAAGGCATGGTTGGTGCATTGCAGCGACAGTGTCATAGCTGGTGGTGGCTGGCTTGGCAGTGAGATGGCCCGAGTGAAGGGCACACACGCACTTACAGTCATCGGAGGGTAGCAGCGGGCGTCTGAATTTTAACGTAGGTGGTGCCAGGCACAGCGTCCTCCTCATGGGCCGTTGCAGCAGTGACAGCACTAAAAAGTGGTGAGTGAAGACCGAGTGAAAGGCACACAGCGCACTTACAGTCATCAGAGGGCAGCAGCGGGCGTCTGAATTTTGCGTAGGTGGTGCCAGAGGCGGTGTCCTCATGGGCCGTAGCAGCAGTGATGTCATCTGTGCCCCCCAGCGCTGTGTCCGCCACTGGCATGCCGTGGGTGGAGAACGTCCACGCATCCTGTTGCAGGGTGGGAGGAAACGAGGAGGAAACGAGGAGGAAACGAGGAAGGGGGGGGAGAGAAAAGGTCCGGGATCAGAACGAGGAGCAGTGATGTCATCTGTGCCCTCAATGCTGTATCCGCCACTATCATGCCATGGGTCGAAAACGTCCACACGTCCTGTTGCAGGGTAGGAGGGGGAGGAAGGAGTTGGGGGGGGGGGGGAAGAGGGTAGGGGAGGGAAGGTGATTGGGTGAAAACCAAGAAAAGACAAGAAAAGACCGAATGGAAGGTGAGAACCCGCAGCAAAAACACAAGAGCTGTGCAAGCGCGAAAGACGCACCTGGATGCGGTAGTAGCCCCCTCTGGCAGTGACGATGGTCATATCCTGCTGGAACATGGCTGGCATTGCGCCCGCTGACGCCTCCCGCACCGGCACTCTGTGCTGCCGCTCCACCACAATCGATGGGGGCGACGGCGCAGCGGGCGGGGGCGTGGCAGCAGCAGTGGCGCGAGAGCGAGAGGGCGCGGAAGGAGAGGAGGAGGAGGAAGCAGGGGAGCGGAGAGGAGTGGAGCTGAGAGGGGTGGTGGCTCCTGCTGGTGCTGGTTCACCTGCTGGCCCCTGCCGACCTGCAGCAGTAGGCCTGGGGGGTGCAGTTGTAGCGGCACTTGACACCGCAGCCGGAACCTGCTCAGTTTCCCTTGTCTCCCGCCCCCTCCCCCGGCGGGTCTCCGAGCCACTGCCGTCAGCCGCTACATTGCTGTCTGCTGCATTGTTGGCTGTTGAATCAGTCTCTGCTGCATTTGCATCTGCACCATTGCTGCCACCCCTCCTGCGCCTGTTGCTGCTGCTGCTGCGGCTGCTCTCACTTTCACTAGAATCTTGAAAATCCGATCGTGATCCTGATGGTGCTTCCGATCTTGACCCCGACTGTGAATCTAACCCCTCCCCTGACCCACGTCCCCCCCTCCTTTCTGCCCCTCTCTCACTCTGTCGCCTGCCTTCCCCACCCCTCCTCTCTTCTCCCACACCACCACCACCCCCTCTCCTCTCGTCCCCAGCAGCTCCCCCACCCCTCCTCTCTTCCCCCCTACCTCTCCTCTCGTCTCCCGCAACCCCCACACCCCGCCTCCCCTCACGGGGAGGGGAGCGGCGGTTTCGACGGGTAACCGGAGTGCGGGGAGGAGCGGGAGGAGGGAGAGCCGGAGGACGAGGAGGAGGGGGGCGGGGAACAGGCGGGGGGGGGGAAGGGGAGGGCGGAGGAGGGGAAGGGGGGGACGGGGGGAAAGGTGTGGCGCGGGAGGGGTTGATGTTGGGAGGTGGGACCCAGGGGAGGTTGGCTGGGCGCCAGCCGATAGCAACGTAGCTGGTGGTGGGGGCTGCAATGGCCACTTCGATCTGGGGTGGGGTTGTGTGTGCGTGCGAGGAGGAAGATTGGGGATGGGGGCGGGGGAGGGGAGGGGAAAACAGCAAGTGCAACAGAAGGGTAGGACGGAACCATGACTGGCAACACTCAAACCATCAAAGGGAAAAGTAACGCATGCACATACGGAGGTGGCGCCTGTCTAGATCCCAAAGGTATGCACCTGATGACCATACACACCTGTGGTCCAAAGGTATGCACCTGATGACCATACACACCTGTGGTCCAAAGGTATGCACCTGATGACCATACACACCTGTGGTCCAAAGGTATGCACCTGATGACCATACACACCTGTGGTCCAAAGGTATGCACCTGATGACCATACACACCTGTGGTCCAAAGGTATGCACCTGATGACCATACACACCTGTGGTCCAAAGGTATGCACCTGATGACCATACACACCTGTGGTCCAAAGGTATGCACCTGATGACCATACACACCTGTGGTCCAAAGGTATGCACCTGATGACCATACACACCTGTGGTCCAAAGGTATGCACCTGATGACCATACACACCTGTGGTCCAAAGGTATGCACCTGATGACCATACACACCTGTGGTCCAAAGGTATGCACCTGATGACCATACACACCTGTGGTCCAAAGGTATGCACCTGATGACCATACACACCTGTGGTCCAAAGGTATGCACCTGATGACCATACACACCTGTGGTCCAAAGGTATGCACCTGATGACCATACACACCTGTGGTCCAAAGGTATGCACCTGATGACCATACACACCTGTGGTCCAAAGGTATGCACCTGATGACCATACACACCTGTGGTCCAAAGGTATGCACCTGATGACCATACACACCTGTGGTCCAAAGGTATGCACCTGATGACCATACACACCTGTGGTCCAAAGGTATGCACCTGATGACCATACACACCTGTGGTCCAAAGGTATGCACCTGATGACCATACACACCTGTGGTCCAAAGGTATGCACCTGATGACCATACACACCTGTGGTCCAAAGGTATGCACCTGATGACCATACACACCTGTGGTCCAAAGGAGGCCAATGTGGAGGCAGCCGGCAGGGACGCATCAGACGAATCATTCTTGAGTATCTTCCACCATATGGTCATATAGCGCACACCACCGTTGCATGCACCCGCACCACCACACGCAGCAGCACCAGCAGCACCACCAGCACCACCAGCACCACCAGCACCAGAAGCGGCAGAAGCAGCAGAAGCGGCAGAGATGGTAGACGGCATGAGGCCACCGGTGGTGTTTGAGTTTGTGTTGGTGGTGATGGGGATGGTGAGGTTGAAGGGGTACTCCTTCCACCACGTGCTCGTGTCCACTGTTGCGTCTAGAGACAAGGGCGAGCGCTGCGAGCACTGCGCGCCCATCCACCCCTCCGCACAGAAGCACTGCCTGCAGGGGGGAGGAATGGAGAGACGGAAAGAAAGGGAGAGATGAGACAAGACCAGGAAGCGGAGAAACGGTTGAGTAAGAGGCATGAACATGGCAGGCAAGACAGGAGGAGGGGAGCGAGGGGGTTTAGGCGGGGACCGAGAGGACCTCTTGAGAGGAGGAGGGCGGTTGGGGGGGGGGGGGAGGACATAGGGAGCAAGAGAGATAAGAAAGTAGACCTTGTGGGGGAGTTGGAGGAGAGGATATCAATGCACTTGGCGTTGACGCCACAGTCGCTGTCCACCACACACTCGTCCTTGCGCTCACAGTACGTTCCCGACAGGGGGAGCTGCATGGGAGGCGAGGGAATATGGCCACGACCGAGGGGTACGGTACGGTACGGTACGGTACGGTACGGTACGGTACGGTACGGTACGGTACGGTCAGAATCTGATTCAGGAGGATCACTAGCGCAAAGAAAAGTCACGCTGTGTGGGTAGGAAAGCGCGGAGAAAGCACAAGAAGCTACAAGTATCATTCTGGTACGGTGCAGCAGGGGACAGGCGAGGAGGACAGTGAGGCAGGCAGGCGGGCACCTGGGCAGGGCAGGCGCACTGCCAGGCGTCAGCGAGGGGCGAGAGCGCACAGGGGGCAATGCCCCCGCTGCAGCCATGGCACGCGTTGGAGCCTGCTGTGGCGATGGTGACGTCCGCACAGCTCCACCGCACATAGGGCTCCGCTGCCGCTGCTAAAGCCTGGGGAAGGGGGAGAAGGGGGGAGGGGAGGATGAGGGGGAGAGAGAGAGAGCGAGAGAGAGAGGGTACAGCCAGAGATAGAGCGGGGGCATGAAGAGGGGTATATCTAAGCCGGCAGAGAAGAGCAGCAGAGGTTGAAAGGCGATGAGAGGAGGGTTATGTGTTAAAAAGATGAGAGAGGATGAGGAGGAGTGGAGTGAGCCGAAGGCGCACTGCACCTGGTGCGACAGGCGGAGAGTGCTGCAGCCAAAGCAGGGATCAGCGGGGAGTGTTGAGATGTCTCAAAACTTAACTATAATCACGCGGAGTGAGCGGAAGGCGCACCGCACCTGGTGCGAGAGGCGGAGAGTGCAGCCGAAGCAGGGAGCAGCAGGGAGCGTGACGAGCGCCCACTGAGCCGTGGGATTGGCCATGATGCCCCATGATGCCACCGTCTCATTGGTGAGAGCCGTGACTGCGTAGCGCTGCCGCACCCTGTTGTCCACCCCTTCCACCAGCAGAATCCGCTGCTCCCACGGGAACAGCTGGGAGCGAGCGCTGTGAGACACAGGCAGGGGGCGGAGAGGGAGAAGAGAACGCTTTTGAGTCGACTCAAAACCGGCAGGGTCTGCTGCTCCGACAGGAACAGCTGGGAGCGAGCGCTGTGAGAGGCAGGCAGCAGAGGACGGACAGACAGATAAAGGGCAGACGCGGAATCGCAATCAGAGTGAAAGTTCAAGGTAAAGCAACGCTCCCCTGATCTGCAGAGTCATTCACCCACCCACCCACCCACCCACCCACCTCACTCACCCGTCCCACTCACCCGTCCATCAACTCACCGCATGGGTCGCAGCAGCTCCACTTTAGATCCCCCTGCCGTGGCCAGTGCCAGGCTGGCCCTGAGACGCCCCCCAATACCTCAGCCAGCACCTTTCAGAAAGGTCCCAACCCAACATAACATATCACTCACCCACCCACCCATCGACTCACCCCAGAGGTCGCAGCAGCTCCACTTTGAAACCCCCTGCCGTGGCCAGTGCCAGGCTCCACGTCACGTTCAGGCCCGCGCCAGCTGTCAGCGGCGTCAGCGGGCTGCGGGCCCCGCGCTGCACGCCACAAGGCGGCTGGTAGAGGCGCGAGTCCACGTCATCGTTGAGGTCCCTCGCGGGGGGGAAGATGAGGCGGAAGGCTGAGGACTTGCGCGGGAAGAAGCAGAGCGCGGGGAGCAGGCAGAGGAGGACGAGCGGCAGGAGAGCGGATGCGGGGGGAGAGGCGGCGGAGGGGCGATGGGCGCGTGCGGGTGGGCGCGGTGGTTGAGGAGCAGCAGGTGACGCCTGTAGCTCAGGAGCCAATGACGAGTATTCTACGAACGCGGGTGCTGCACTCCTACCCTCAGAGCGACTCATCCCGCCGCGATTCTCGCCAGAAGGGCTGGCGAGGCCCAGCGACGAGGATTGACAGACAGCTATCGGAAGGTCACGCGGTACCAGACGCGCGGATCCTGAGCCACAAGAGCCGCCATGGACTCCGGTCTCACTGTCGCTCTCCGAGCAGCATGCTGCACGCGAGCCTGCTGCGCGCACGCTGCTGCGACCTGCAGCGGAGCGAAGCGACGGCCCCACGGCCGCAGCAGTCGCAGCCATCGCAGCAATCGCAGCAGCAGGTGGGCCTCTCGAGCCCGAGGAACGGACTCGAGCAGCGGCGAACGTCCCTCGCAGGGTAGGAACAGGCGGGGGTCAGGGAAGTCCAGGCGAAGAGCGTGTGTCGCTGAGAGGCTGGTGCCGAACGGCTGGAGTGGAATGGCCGGCGTCGAGCGGTCGTGACGAATGGAGTCGAAGAGAATCGAACGGAGTTGAATGGGGTTGGATGGAGCCGAATGCCTGCGAATAACTCTCTACTGACCTAAGTAAGAGCGAGTGATATGCAATGGAGGACAGCTCAGAATGAATACTATTTGGTGGACGCAACCCACGATTGCGCTTCACTCGCCAGCTGCACGCTCTCTGACGGAGGCGCATCCAGCATGTCGAGCAATGGCTTAAATTTGCCATACTAGGAGAATACTGGGAAAAGGAAAGAGAGGATGCTTTTCGATCGGAGCCGACGAGAGGCAGCGAGACCAGTTGAGTGCGATAGAGCGGAGAATAGGAAGAGCAATCGAGGGAGTGAGCGCATCAGACGCAGTGAACTGGGAAACCTCGAGGATTGAGAAAGAGGGAGAAGTGATTGAGAGAGCTGGGGGAAGACGAATTGAGAGCAGCGGAAAGAAAGTCTCGAGGGAGGAAAAGACCTCGCTTCGGGGCGGGTTGAATTTCTAAGGGTGCGGTACAATTTGTACCAAGGCGAGTTCAAGTCTTGAACGCTCTAGGTGTAGCTGTGGTAACCCTACTTATAACCAAGCTACACCGCTATAATGTACCGCGGCAGTCAAGATGCCTCGAAATGTACTCCCGCCAAAACGAGCGGACGAACCGAAAACATGACCAGCACGTTCGAAAGACAGTGCCAAAAGTACCGAGTTGCCGACAAACTCGCCTCACGAAACTCTGCGTACGTAGTCTTCTCTCGCAAATTTCGCGACACCGCCAATCCTAACAGTGAAATGTGGCAGGCGCGATTTTGTTGCACAGTTTTGCGATTTCGTCAATTTCGTCTCGTCGCGAATTCACCGCGTCGTGCATTTTGCATCTTGAGCGTCAAAGGGCAAACCGCGCTATGCTACAAGCTCCGTGTCGCCTTGAACCCCTGTATTATGCACCTCTTTTTTCGAACGTAGGTCAAATTGGGACGAGCGTGGTGCGCGTTCGAAATTCAAAAAAAAAAAAAAAAAAAAAAAAAAAACGACAACATTTCGGTCCAAAATGTACCGGCCCTAAGAATTCGAAGGCTGTACGCGCAAGTTCGAATATGGTACAGTTCAGCAATTGCATGCGCTACTGTACATCGTCGTCTATGTACACATATACGAGCTCCCTAAATGCTTTCAACAATCTCCACGTCCTTCGTCATTCTTGTCACACTTTCTGCCCTTTGCTTACCTTTCGTACTGGGGGGTGTGGAGCACATATGGCAGTTAATTCATTGTATGCGCTGTCTAACATAATGGAGAAACAGGCGGTGTTTATCATCGAGGCTAGTCTTATTCGTAGCAACACCAACAAATCACTGTTCTCCGTACGAGCCCTTATAACAAACATTAATGTCTGGTTGGAGGGAAAGAGTGGTCTGAAGTGTTTTGGTGACCAGAATGCTGAGATTCCAGACATGCAGATACTCCCTCATACAGCTACCGAAGCTGCGCTCTTTCAAGTTGGGCCAGCCTTCACTATTTTAGCCTCTCACTTTAACGGATGTTCGGCCTCATCCTAACTTCTGCACAGCACACATCATACAAATTCTCTTTGAGGCCCTCCCACGTGCGCTGCTTGGTGACTGATGCCGTTGCCTTGCCCTGCTGGTACCGAATATACTCCTTAGTGGTCACATCTGCCACGTACAGCACAGATGACAGAACACTACCAGTAGAATGAGATGCAGTCTGCTATGTAAAGGGTGATCGCAAGTGGCACATGCAGGCAACTGCATTAGCTTCACAGCATGGAGTTGTAGGTGTTGTACGGATGGTGGGAAGATGGGAGGATTTACCGCAGATGAGGATGGCGCAGTGGAGCAGCGCGAAGACGACGAGGCATGCACCGTAGAAAGAGAGAGGCAGCACCACCAGCAGCACATACAAATGCCATGGCTGGTTTTCCAGACCCCTGCATGTGGGAGGCGGGGCGTAGAACGGTGGGAGAGAAGATGGGTGGGAGGAGAGAGATGGGCGAAGAGGGGACGAGTATAGTGGGTGGGAAGGGGATGCAGATTGGAAGGAGGAAGGGGGGTGGGAGGAGAGGGGATATGTTTAGGGAGGAGTGAAACGATGTGGTGGGGGTGGGGTGGGGGGAGAAAATGGTAGGAATGGCATGAAGAGATGGAAGACCCATCTACCTTGACCAATCAGCTGCTGCCAGCTGTAAGCAGACCGACACAATGACTGCTGTGGCCGCCTGAAGAAGACCAACGCGGGCAAGGGAGGCAGATGTGGAGAAAGAAGAGAGAAATGGTTGGGTTGCAGGCTCACACGGTGGCAGTGCGGGTGAGTGCGGTTGCGGTGCAGAACATAGGCTTCAGAGGAGAGGAGGGCGAACAGGACACAGTAAGACCATCAAGAACCAGGGGAGCAAGACAGCCGGCAGCCAGCGCAGTCAAGGGCATGGGTGCATGGGATATGTGTGCTGGCAACGGGGGCGAGAGGGGAGTGGAGTGGAATGGGGTTGAGTGGGCGAGGGCGTACGAGGGATGAGGCGATGAGGAAGGCGATGAAGAAGCGGTGGTTGCGGCGCGCGATGCACGTGCCCAGGGCGTCGCAGTGGTGGTCCAGACGCTGCTCGCCATGAGGGGGTGGTGACAGGGGTGGGATGGTGGGAGAGATGGGACATGGCGGAAGGAAGGCGTTCGGGAAGGCGGACCGCAGGCAGGGGGAGGAGAGCTTAGAGGAGAGTGCAAGGAGGCAGAGATGAAGGGGAATGGAGAACTAGGGAGAGAGGTCGGAACGAGGTGCAAGAGAGGGCGGGAGAGGGCGGAAGGAAAAGAGATGAAGCAGCATGCTTGCACACAGCGACCATTGCTTGCACACAGCGACCATTGCTTACACTCACCTCCATGCAGTATCCGCAATCGGAGCAGTGGCTCGTCCTTGGCCCTTTCCACACGTGGCAGCTGCTACAGTACCTCTGCGTCTCCACCTCTTCCACTACTTCCGGCTCTCCTCCCCCGCGCCCTCCCCCGTGCCCTCCCCCTTTCCCCGCTTCCCCCTCCCTCCCCGCGCTTCCCTTCCCCCCGAACGACAGCCCCATTTCTTCGTCAGTTGCGCCTGCGGGGGGATCACCGCCCTCGGGGCGCTCCGCGGAGTCTGCGCCCGCGTGGCGGCTGCGTGGAAGGGCTTGGGGGTCCCGCGGAAGCGCTTGGCGCGCAATGAGCTTGGCGCGCACCCACTGGCCCGAGGAGTCCCGCAGCAGCTCGGGGTCCACGTCCCCCATCTCCGCGCGGATCACCACAGGGTCTGCAGAGGTCAATGGGAGGCCGGGGGGAGTACGGGGGGAGGACGGGGGGAGGTCGGGGGGAGGTCGGGGGGAGGTCGGGGGTTGGTGGGGAGAGGTCGGGGGGAGGGGGGAGCGATGAGGCGGCAAAGGGGACGAAATGGCAGACGCAGCGGAGGGATGGAGGCGGTAGGGGTATGCTGGCAGTCGGACTGGCAGCGATTCGCTGCGAGCAATACGGGGTTCTAACCACGAATTCGGAGCTGATTTTTTTGAGCGCACTACTTGCCGGGGAACGCGGAGGGCAGTACGATGCCCGGGTCGACGTATCGCACGGCGAGCAGCAGAGCGAGCGACGTGATGGCGAAAGCGACGGTGCTGGCGACGAGGAAGTATCGCACGGCCTCATTTGGAAGCTGCCCCTCGGCTCTGCGGGGGGGGGGGGGTGTGCGGACGGGGAGACGAGGGGAGGGGGGGATGAGCGAGGGTGGTGAGGCGGCGGGTTTGGCGGCGAAAAAAGGGGGAATCATGAAACTAATGCGTCCCGTTACTGCTACTGCTACGACGCAGCGGCGGTTATTATGATCAAGGGGTCGTGGAATCATCGCTTCGGGATCTCACGTGACGTAGGCGCCTAGAGCGGCGACGACGACTATGAGAAGCGCGATGCTCCAGAACATGCACGCGCCGGTGCACGACTGCCGCTGCCCGCGCCTCCTCCGCCGCCTCCTTTCCCCGCTGCGCGACGACCCCCCGCTGCCCCCCGCGTCCCCGGACCCCCCTGTGCTCCCCTTGCGCGCCACTGGGGGGAAAGACGTCTCTCCGGAGCCAGCAGTGACAGACGTTACCGCAGGAGCAACGGCAAGGGCAGCAGTAGCAGCGGCAGGAGAGCTGCCTGCTATGGTAACGTCGACAAGAGCCGTTGATCCACTTGAGGTAGAGATACTACTTCCTTCCCCGCCCACGATTGCCGTTGCGTTGCCGGCACCAACACCAGCGGCAGGAGCATTCGCAGAAGTTCTGGCTGTTGAAACAGTGGCAGCAGTTGTAGCAGCGGCAGCAGCATCAGTAGCGTTAGAGCCACCTACCGACTCCGCCTTGCGTCGAGCGTCAGCCTCCTCGTCGGAGTCTCCCCCTCTCTCTTTCCCTCCGTCTTTTCTGCCATCTGAATCCTTACTACCAGCTGCGATAGCAGCTTCGCCAGAGTTGTTGTCAGAGCTGGTGTCTCCTCTGCTGTTGCCCGTCGTGTCGTGCCGCCCCCGTGGACCCTTGCGCTCTTCTCGTTCCTCCTTCCTCTCATCTTTATTGGCCCCTGCTAGCGTATCGATTTCGCGGCGCTCCTCGTGAATTTCTCTCAGCTCGCCCTGATGCATTTCGTTGTCCTCCTCCTCGCTCTTGTTCTTCGGTTTCGCCGCTGCACCCTTCGCACGATTCGATTCGTGCGTCCCATTAATGCCCTTTTCGTGCTCTGCGGAAACTGCCTCTTTCTCCCTTCTGGCCTGTGATTCCCCCCCCTCCATTTCGCTTTCACACTGCTTATCCTTCGGCGCGTGTCAAGCTGTGAGACAAAGAATCGCCTAACCTCTGTAACCGAATCGCGCTGAAAAAGGTTCCTAAACTTGAGCAGCTCTAGCTACGGATCGCGAGCAGGGCCAGCTAGAGAAAGGAAATTGCTGGCACCAGCAGTCAAGATCTCAGGAGGATGCTAGGCGTGATGGTCTATCCATTGTTTTGGCAGTTGTGGTACGCGGTTCCACGAAACAGGCAGATTTCAGGGGCCCAATTCGGCTTGGGGCGGAGAGTGGAGAGGATCCGTCCGTGAATGACGAGGAATTCTGGGTGTGGTGGGGAGGGGAGGTATGTATGGGAAGTGGGGAGCTGGGGGAAGGGAATTTCAGAAATTGGCGAGGGAAGGGAGGGGCGGTGTAGGCTGCCAGCGATAAAATTCCACGCTGCGAAGAAATGCGAATTTTGCCTAGCTGATGTGCGACTGACGTATGTCACGGTGGCTTCTTTTACTGGCAGCCTGCCGTTTTGATTGGAGAACGAGTCATTATTGCCCTCCAAATGACCCTAACGAAATTTGCGAAATTAGTTACTTGCAGGTAGCCAGCTGTGCTTGGTTCGAGGATAAGGGAAACGCGTTCGACGACTCGTTCAGCCTCGCCCCACGAAGTTCGGGAGACGAGCCGCCCAAGGCCAATAATTGTAGGGAATGGCGCATTGCAAAGCACACCTTTACTACATAAAAAAAAATCTTCCACGTCGAGCAGGCAATGCAATTGCATCTCACTATTGGAATTAGTTCCATTCTTGTGATTCTTTGTACCAATATGAGTGTTGAATTGAAGTTCCAAATGACTCAGGTAGTTGTGTGAATATTTCCCTCCTTATGCTGTTCCATATCTCCAAATAATGCTAGCAACAGTATTCAGGCCACAACCTCTTCCCACAAGTAAATGTGCCAAGCTCACAACCTACCCCACCCGGACCCTTGTACCGGTACATCAACTGTTTGTAAAGAATGAAGATAAACCACAAAAACTGCCATAAGGTTTGTACATAAAACAGCACAGCGACGAAGATAAGCCGCGAAAACTGCCATAAAAGCACAGCCCTGAAAGGCACGGCAAAAAGGCATGACCGTCACCACCACTACGCCGATTCCCGTCGAATGAAATCCTGATTCAGGGTTGCAGAGAGTCATCATGGGCGAGATGTTGTGGAGGCAGCACGGTGGCGGTGGTGCCGATCCATGGCCGCCTGATGGTCGCTGCCGCCCTCCGCCTCCTGCACTTGCGCCACACACCGCTTCATGCTGTGGGATTGCGATGTTCCCGTTGGCACTACCAGAATGCTAGACCCTGAATCCGCCATCATGTGCTGCTGCTGCTGCTGCTGCTGCTGAATGTCTTGCTGCTGCTGCTGGTGCTGCCTCTGCTGCTCCTGGTGAAGCTGCTGCTTCACCATCCGCTGCTGCTGCAGCAACCTCTTTCTGTCAACCACCTGAGAAAAAGGACCCAGAGAAACCACAACCAGAAACAACGAGGAATGTGCTAGGAAGGGAGTGGCAAATATTTTGCCATTCTCCAGACCAAGAGAGCAATTAGGAGCAAACATCGCACTCAACCCCATCCCATCTAACTGTCACAATCACCTCCACTACCGCAATTTCCTCTTCCCCTCCCCCCCTCCTTTCCCCCCTCTCTCCCCCTCCCCCTATCCCCATCCCCTCTCAAAAACCTCCTTCTCCCGCTCACCATGGGTCCTCGATAGTTCCCCCGGCGCACGACGAAGCTGTCAGGCGGCTGGAACTCCTCGAGCCACCCGTACTCCACGCCCTCCCTCAGCCCCTCCGTGCTCTCCAGCGCTGGGAAGCACGCGGGAGGGAGCTCCCGGAAGTACGTGCAGTGGCGCCCCGCATCCGCGTTATAGGGCGGCGCGAGCACGTCGAGCACGGCGCAGGGGGAGAGCGCGGTGAAGGAGTGGATGTTGCCCCCGCTGGTGGGGAAGAGGATGTCGGGGGGGCAGGGCGCTGATACCACGTCGTCCTCGACTAGCTCCGCCAGGCGCGCTGCAGGGGCAGCAGGTTAGGGGGAGGGGGGGAGAGGGGGGAAGCAGGAGGGAGGGGAGAGGGGCGAGTGTGAGGAGGTGTGTGGGGCGTGGGGGGGGAGGGAGGAGGTGGAGGGGGGGAAGAGTGTGGTTGGAAATGAAAGGTGGAAGGAAAGACGAGAGAGCGAAAGAGAGGGAGAGCGAGTGAGGGGAAAGAGAGGCGCGGGAGACAGAACGAGAGAGCGAGCATTACGTTGGTAGGGGTCAGTGGAGGGTTCAGTAGGGACGGCCCAGTCGAACGACCGGACGTGCATGCACCCGAACAGCAGCTTCGACAGCACCGTCATTCCCGGGTGGTTGTGCAAGGGTATGGTCGCCGACGCTGGGATGCAGAAAATACCGATCTGGAATACGAGGTGAGAGAGGCAGGTAGCAGAGGAGAGGGAGACGAGGGGGGGGGGGGGGGGGGGGGGGGGGAGGGGTTAGGGGGATGAGAGAGACAGGTGGCAGGAGGAGAGGGGAAGAGGAAGGGGGATGAGCGAGAAAAGGGGGATCACTGGCATCTTTCTACAGTAATAGCGGCTTTTCGTCCTCGTCCTGCAGAACACCTCCGCAGCTAGCTCGCGGCCATGGGGGAGAGAGCGGGTGAAAGAGAGCGAGATGTACTCGTTGCTGCGCGATGCGATAAGGGACTTACAGAGAAGTCGTCACACTCGTATAGGTGCAGGTACGTGATTGGGGGGGAGAACTCCCGCGCAGCTGCTGCGCCACCGTGCGCCGCTTCCGCGCCTCTAGCATTTCCGCCCCCCCCGTTCCGCCCATCATCGGAACTCCCAGCGCCGCCGTCGTTCCGCTCGTTCGAACCGCCGCGTGCCTCCGGGCCGTCGCCCTGCGCGGAGCGCCTGACTGTCGCGGCCGTGGCGGCGTGAGTGGCGGCGTAGCTCGCGGCGTTGCGGTTCTCGCAGCAGGCGGTGACCTCGTCGAGCCCCACGTCAGCTGCCACAATGGACTCTGGTGACACGTGGACGCACGGGTGGGGGGTTGCGTGCGCGGATGCGAGGATGAGTGCGACAGAGACAGGGAGACACAGCAAGGAAGGATTAGTGACGCGAGGGAAAGGGCGGAGGCGCGCGGGCGAGAGTAGCGGGAACGAGACGACACGAGACGAGACGAGAATGGGGGCAAGCCAGCCGCGCCTACTACTAGCCGCGAGAATTCTCCATCCCGCCGCGGATGCAAATTAGATCCTATCCGGGCGCGGTAGAACGACTCCAGCAATTCAGATGAAGAGGGCGGGGCCGGGATAGAACGACTCCAGCACGGGGATCACCACCACACTGGCTGCTGAGAAAGCAGCAGCAGGACTCGCTGAGCAGCGGTGCATGACTCAGCGCAGCGCAGGCGGCCCCACAACACCCAACACCCGATGGGACTAACAGACGGTACGTAGCGCCGCTTGCTCTGCGTTGCTTTCCTGACGGAACGACGAACAGCGCCAGGCGTCACCAGGCGTCACAGCGATACTACCTGCTAGAGTTCGCAGCTACGCAAGGGCAGGGCGCCGCGGCGTACCTAGGATATCGCGAACGCGCTGCAGCGGCTGACGAGACGGCACGGGCCCGCCATGGGAGAAGGCTGCCTTGCACGCGTCGTAGAGCTTCTGCACTTTGAGCATAGGCATGGCGGACGCGCCGCTTTCTGCAGTACTGCTCCAGTTAACGCGTAATCTACACTCCAGTTGAGTGCGCGGTTCCGCTGTTGCTGTTCCCCTCGCTTATTGCCGCGCTGACGCCACTGATCCACACACGCATAAGACACGAACGGCTGCTTGTCGCAGTGTACGACGCAATTCCGTCAGTTTATGGCAAGTTGGGTAAAATTGAGCGACAATCGGGTACTTAACGGAACCTAACTAACTAAGCGGGGATCGATTGAGGGAACGGAGACCAATTGACGACTCGTCAAGTTGAAATTGCCACGCACAATCGTGCTGAGGAGAAAAAAAAGCCCTCTCGGTTATATAGCCGGGGCGAGCTGAAAGGAAACTACGACCCCATCCAAAGATCTGGCGGCGCGACAGTTGCCACCTCACCACACGGGAAAACGGGAAAGGGAAGGTAGAGCAAATTAAACCCCCTACTACTCTCGCTTCTGCTTCGAAATTCTCGTGTACTGCTTGTAGCGAAGAAGCACCGACGAGGGAAGCTACAGACGCGTCTGCCTTAGGGGTGGGTCGTACTAAAGTTTTGCAGACGCAGTTTGTCAGTCTCGGCTTGGTCGGAGTGTGACTGAGGCGTGTGCGTGTGGAACTTGGTAGTGGGGGGAATCTCGGTGGCGTTGTTCTAAGGTCGATACGGAAGGAAAGGACGATATTGGGGGCTGGGAGGGAGGAGGGGGGGGAGGGGATGAGGAAGATGAGGAAGATGAGGAAGATGACATCAAGGCGCAAACACGCGATGAGAGATGAGAGAGAGCCATGGACTGGGCGGGCAGAAGGAAATGAATGAATCGATGAAGAGGAAATGTAGGAGGAGCGGGGTGATGATTCGGTGCTCTCGAAAGAGGTGTACAGAACGTTACTGTACACAACAATGTGGGGCAGACAGCGGGAAAACAATGTGGAGTGCGGCTGGTGTTTTGGTTTTTTGGTCTGGGCCGGATGGAGCTGGTGGTGGTGGGTGGACGCCCGCGGCAACACCAGCAGCCTGCACCGCCTGCCGCCAACCAGGGAACAAATCGGGTTTGTTCGCTGATGATAAGGGTAACCTTACGCGAGTTGACTGGAGTTGAGGGTTGATTCGCATTGCCCTCACAAAGCTCAGGAAAGGCTCCTACATCGTGCCATAAATCTCAGCAGGAGGATTTTGACACCTAAGATCCTGACACATCATCAACTTTAATGACGTGTAGAGTCCAGAACCGTTGGAAATGCAGCAGCATTATGTCATAGAGCCAGACTTACGTTCAGTCAGAACAAGCCCCAAGTCTCACTGTTGGACTTTCGAACGGAACCCCAATAACACAAGCAGTTGCTGGTGTAAAGAATGCTGCTGCTTTTTGCCAGCACCTCCTGGATGGAATGAAAGGGTGAGGGAAGAAAAGGGACGACACGTGTGATTTGTGTTGTGGGGGGCCACTAGAGCATTGCAGATGCCTACAGAATTCCGATCTGGTTTGGCCGTCATCACCCGCCCGAATCGCTCTCAAACATCAAGCCGCAATTTCTTATATTGTCGATAGATATGGATTTACAGCTGTATACTGCACTGCGGAAAAGAAGTTCACAGGCGCGAAACTGTAATCAGCGCTTCGCCAAATGCAAACCAAATGATATTTAACGCTGCTCTCTCCTCCTTGGGGCAGATTGAAAAACCCAAGACAGTCAATGGGATTCCGCCATCGTGCGCTGGCGGCATAACACCAATGAAGATCTATCCTGGCTTCAACACAGCTTCTTATAGGGCAAAGAAAGTCCAACGAAGCAAATGAAATGATTGGCCTGCCAAACCTCCCTCTGTTGTTTGTTGGCCAAGCCTCTTCCGTTCTACCCTTCATTTTGGCCGCCACTACACTTACAGCGCAGTATTTCTTCTAATATTGTATTTTTCTGTATGACACTCCTTACCACTAGAACATTGCATGCCCTTTACTTAGAGGCGTAGTGGTATACCATTATGTCTCGTAAAAATCATACTATAAAATATCAATGTTTACCTAAAACGTACATATATATTCAGATATTACAAGTATGCTGGATGGTTATACTTCCATTCCTTTATATGTATGCGTCTAGCATGCTTGTTTGTCCTGCTGAGTGCTGCGGAAACGGATATCGACATCTGCTTACAAGGGGGTATAGAGTTCGGCCAGGAAATGCATTCGCCAGAGGGACTGCAAGTCCACGTGACGCTTCTTGACTGGTGCAATTGTCCTTCTCCTGACCCCAACCACAACAGCGCAAAAATTCCCCCCGACCTCCTACCGCCTTTCGCCGCCGCGCCCCAGGAAACCACCACTGAGCTTGGCGCTGGCGGCGCAAGCACCTTCGTTTGGTATATTAATCGGTTCTGTATGTTTCTGCAAGGATTCGAGTATATTCATTATGTTGTCACCGGCTTCACTTCGTTTCTCTGCGCCAGCCGCTCCGCCAGACTCTCTCCCTCCGCACCTCGGATGGATCCTTGAAACGCGATTGGGTGAGTCTCATTGCCTGCTCCCCTGCCTGCCAATCCCGACGTACTGAATCTGTCCCCACTGCCTTCATCACTGTCCCCCCAACGCCTTGCTTCTGGCGTCATTCTCCTCTCCCTGCTTCTAGTGCTCTGTGATCTGTCTCTGTGTACTGTTATGGCTTGTAAGGTAGTATTGTATGATACGTACAGTTTGGAATGTTTGAGTTGTCTAGAATTAGGTGCACTTGGCTCCTGTACCGCACAGAAGCCAGGCTCCAGTCAAACACGCATTCCGGGACGGCACTGCATAAAACTGGTAACAGTACCCACTGTAACATATAAGAACCCTTCCCCGTTGAAACCGCAGTTGCTGTCATCAGGCACTCTCACTGCACAGCCTCCTTCTGGTGCTTCGTGATCCCGGTGTTCACAACTAGAAATTTCAATGCGCCAGCTTTTATCCATCGCCCCTCTTTCCTGTTGTCATCCATGCGTAGCCTAGAAGCCCCTTTCTTCCTGGCGACTGATTCCATGGCGGCCGCTACCAGGCCCCGCGCTCTGCCTCCTCCTTCGTCTCAGATTGCATCAGCGCTAAGCTCCAGCCGCCATTACTCCTGCCTCAGATCCGTAGCGCCTGCTTTAAGCCATTCCCGGCCGCTGTCGTACCCCTCTCCTCAACCCCTGCTTGGCAATCCCTGCTCCCACCGTCCTCTAATACTCACTAGAAGCGCATGTCATACAGGGCGATATTGTGCATCCGGTTCCAGAGAGAGCGGAACGGCGGTAAATCTCGCTCCTGGAGCTTGTGAACGGCGGTCGTTAAGGTCGTCCTCTAGGACCGTTACTCGAAGATTAAGAGGGATTACGGTTGCAGGAGAGGAAGGTCTACGAAGGAGCGGAATCGGCCATGAAGCCTCCCCATTCACTCACTTCGCGGTGGCTGTACGAAAGACGACGTCCGACGATCGCTTTCACCTTTCGTCCGTACCGCTGGGCACGCGACCGCATGCGATATCGCAGCCGGGATCAGGCGCCACGGCAGCCACTGCAGCCACTACAGCGATCGGTACAGCAGGCACCCCAGGTGGTTTCCGGCGTCACAATCGACGCGTTCGCACGCAGTCGCACGGGCCTCAGCAAGGCTTTCCTCTCGCTGACACGTCAGCAGCTTCACCAGGGAGCAATCGCCTCCCTCATTTAGGTATTTCCAGCAGGCAAAGTAGCAGAACCCAGCGGCGAGGAGGTTTTCAGAACGAGGGGCAGAGAGGATGCGGATGGGGGTCGAATGGGATCGTGGATCCGGGCTTGGGTTGCAACGGCTTCACGCAGCGGGTGTCGGGACGCCGCAGAAGCAGCCTCGTGTGCCGGACCACCAGCAGAGTTTGCGAGGACAGCGGCGGCGGCGGCGGCGGTGGCGGCGGCAGAGGCGGCAGTAGTAGTAGCGGCGGATTTATACCCGGTTCCGATGCTAGCTTTGATCTTGACGCGGAGCCTTTACTGGACGGTGCTGGTGACATGGTGATGGAGTTAGAGGAGTTGGAGTGTAGCTATGACGGTGTAGCCACGCGGGTTTTAGCGGGAGATCTTGGGCGACGTAAGCAAGGCCGGGGCGAGGAAGAAGGGGAAGACGAGGAAGCAGAGGAAGCAGAGGAAGAAGAGGAAGCAGAGGAAGAAAAGGACGAGGACGAGAGTAGAGTAAGGGAGGATGGGAAGTGGTCATGGGCGAGAGCGGGGATGGGATGGGTGGGTGTGATTGCATCGCTGGTCACCTCTCGCCTGGCGGAGGAAGAGGAAAGCAGACCGGGGCTGGAGAAATCGGCAGAGAAGAAGGGCGGGAAGAGCAGCAGGCTGAGCCGCAGCAGCAGTAATGTTGGTGGGGGTGGGGGTGGTGAAGGAGGAGGAGGAGTTGCAGAAGGTGGCGCTGGTGCGAGGGGAGAGAGCCACCCGGAATTTGAGATCTGGAGACTGGATTCTGCTGGAGTCAACCGAGGCAACCACGCTGCTGAAGCCAATCGAGTCAGCCATGGTGCTGGCGGCGATGGATGGGCTGGTAGCAGTGACTCTCCTGCTCATGCTCCTCCTGACGTTACTGCAGCGCCCGGTATCAATGGTGCTGCTACCGCTCTCCATCCCTCTGCCACTCTCCCGGCTGATGCCGCCAGTGCCAACCCCTTGGGAACGCATGGTGCTGCTGCCACCAACGGCGTTGCTGCTGCTGCTGCTGCTGCTGCTCCGAACGCTGCTGCTGTTTCTGCGGCTGCTGCTAGTGCAGCCGCTGCCGCGGCAGTGGGCGCGTCCCCTGCGTCGTTCGGGGGCGTGTCTCGCCCGTCTATTGGCAGCTGGTGGGAGACGTCCGGGCCCGCCTTTGCTGTGGGGCGCGGATGGGTGGCCTCTGGCTCGGGCCAGGGGGTGGATGCCCTCACGCTCACCATGTCTAAGGAACCCGTGTACCAGGTGTGTGTGGGTGTGCGAGGGGAGGGGGGGAGGGGGGAGGGGGGAGGGGGGAGGGGAGAGGGAACTGCGGGGGAAGGGAGGTTGGGAGTTGGGCGACGAAGAGTGTGGCCATGTAAGGGATGCGGAGGGGTGGACTGTAGCCCGTGTTCCCGCCACCTCCCCTCTCCCACTCACACGGCCCCCTTTTTTCGCGCTTTTCTCCCTATTTTCTCCCCCCCTTCGCCCCGTTTTCTCCCCTTTCGCCTTATTCTCCCTATTCCAGGTGGTGGAGGTGAGTGCGAACGGGGCGCTACGACAGAGGGAGGTCAGCCGGCGACAGCTACTACGATACAGTGGTGAGGGGAGGGAGGGAGGGCATCGTATCCAGGTGTATGTAGGTGATGTCACAAGAAGCAGTGGTGAGGAGAGGCGAGGCAAGGAATCGTACCTAGCTAACTGTTGAGTTGTGCAGTGCAGAATGCGCTGGATAAAGTGGTAAAGCAGTCGGGGAATGGGCAAACCGAAACAGCCAGGGGATTAGATGGGAGCTAGTATGAAACTGTGGTGGGAGGGAGGGAGAGGGGGTGGGGCACAAGGGAGGAGGAGGAGGCAATAAGAGATTATTTCTATTAGGAGAACTATCAGAACTACGGTGATTGCGAAACTGAGCCTGCCTTTTCTCTGTTCTGATGGGCAGCATGCACTTAATATCGCATCTATGCTTGGGACATTAGCGCCCCACACACCATGTACCCACCTACGTTTAAACGCAAAACGCTTGGCCAGGAGGGGAGCAAACGCTAGGAAAACGCTGGCCCAGGCAGGTATTAAAAAAGTTTCGGGCAGGGCAAAAGAACGGGCTTCTGGGGAGGGGGGGAAGGGGAAAGGAAGGGCGTGAAGGGCACCTTCATCCACCACCCCCATTAACAAAATATTAAAAGTTTCAGGGTACATTCACAAGTCAACCTAACATCCATCCATCACATCACACACACCTACCCCCTCTCCCATGCAACACAACCAGGATGCATCTTCCCTACAATCAGCCGCCGCGAGTACTACAATTTATGCCCCCCACTGCAGCTACCCTAACACCAGCCTCCCCTGCCACCCCTGCCACCTCTTCCTCCCCAGCACGTCGCAAACTGGTTTCAAAATTTCGAAATTTTGATTTTTTTTTGCGGGCAGCCCGCTCTTGCGTTTGCGCGTTTGCCTAGCGTTTGGGCGTTTGCGTTCGAACGCAAAACGCTTGGCCGTTCGAGCGTTTTTCCGCCCTTCACTCTGTTCTCTCGCCCTCAACCCCCAGACCCACCCTCCCCTATCTTTTTCCTTCCCTCCCCTCCTCCCCGTGCTCTCCCCCCCCAACCCCCAGGTCTCTCCCAGCGGGACATTCGCCGCATTGACCCCTCTCTCTGGGTCACCAACGCCCTTCCTGCCCTGCTGGTAAGATAGAACGATTCCTGAGGCTATTCTAGAGTTGTTCGCCTCTCCCCTCCTTACCTCTCCCTTCGCCTCTCCTCCGTTTTAACCTCTCCTCTTCCCATCCCCACCCCTTCCCCTCCTTAACCTCCCTTCACATCCCCGTCTCCATCCCCTCCCTTCCCTCCCACTTCCCCCCCACCCGCCTCCTTATGCCCCCCCGCTTGGCGCTCGCGATTCTTGCACTTGTAGTCCCCCTCTCTGTTATCTTCGCCAGCCCATCATTCCCTCATCTCGCCTTTTCTCCCCCCCCCCCACCAAATACACATGCACACCTACACCCCGCCCCCCCGTTCACCCACATACAGGTGCGCGAGAGTGCGATCCTGGTGAACCTGGGGTCCCTGCGCGCCATAGCCACTGCTGACTCCGTTCTCATCTTCGACCACCACAGGTGCGATGCGTATGGCAAGGGCAAGGAAGGGCAAGGTGTATTCTGAGTCGAGTCAGTCAGGATACTCGTACTCCTGTCGCTGCGTGCCCGCCATAGCTAGCCACTGCTGACTCTGTGCTCATCTTCGACCACCACTGGTGCGATAAGCAGGGCACACTGGCAAGGAGGGGAAAGGACAAGGAGGGGCAATGGGAAAGGGGAGCAATGACGAAAAGCGGAAGTGGGAATTGGGGGAAGCAGAGGGATAGAGTGCATGTGCGCATGCACAGCTGAGGCTTTCGCCCCTCACAATGGACTGTCAATGCATCCCCGTCGCTGTTTATGTACACAAGTCGTACGTAACGTAAGCTCACTGCTCACGAAGCAGTGCAAGGTTGGGACAGCCCTTCGCTTCATACTTTTCTCCTCGGAGCTTCTGCTGTACCCGATCCCTCACACCCCTCTCAATCTTCTCGTCTGAACCCTGCAAATTCTCACGCCGGTACTCACTCTCCGTCCCCACCCACTTCCCTCCCTCCCTAAACCCTGAAACCTAAACCCTTTTCCCCCATCCTCCCAAACCCGCACCCTCCCCCACCCCCTTCCTGCCCCAAACGCTGCAGTGCAGGAGCGCGGGCATTCCTGGAGGTGCTCCTAGACCGCCTGAGACTAGATGCTGACCTGGCGGATGGGGGGCAGGGCGTTGGGGGCCCCATGCCCTTCGAACTGGAGGTGCGCTGACATGGGTTGTGATGCGTCCGTGCCCTGTGTGTCCTGCTTGTGTTTTTTGCGGCGCGTCAAAAAGGGCGTGGGGGGGATATGCCCTTCGAACTGGAGGAGGTGCGCTGGCATGCGTTGTGATGTGTGGACACATGTCGTGACGTGTTGTTGTCATGTGTGTCCTGCTGTGTGTGTTGCGCCACATGCATGCATGATGAACCGCAACGTTTTCCGCCCATGCACAGAGCCTCTTCCAGGTATATGCGTATCTCATGACATGGCCGCATGCTTCTTCATCATCCTCTCTTTTTCTATGACCCCCCTTCTCCACCAGTTTGTACCCTTTCAGATCCCCTCTTTCTCTCCGCCGCTCCCTTTCCCCCTCCTCTCACCCTCTCCCTCTCCCCCACTCAACCTCTACCCCTCTCCCCCTCTCACCCTCTCACCATCTCTCCCTCTCCTACTCTCCTCTTCTCTCCCTCTCACCCTCTCCCCCCCTCTCCCTCTCCCCCTCTCACCCTCTCCCGCTCTCACCCTCTCCACCGCGCACCCCTCACCCCAGGTGGTGGAGTGTGCTCTGATCTCCCGCACGCAGCGTCTGGAGAGCGCTCTGCTGGACGTCGAGCCCAGGGTCAGTCACCCCTCCCACCACTCTCTCCGTCTGGGTCTTTATCCCTGCGAATGCCTGCAATGGTTGTTCTCTTGGAGGGGGGGTGGGGGGAGGTGGGGGAGGGAGGGAGGGGGAGACGTCTCAGTACTTTTGAGCCTGACCCTGCCAATGCACATAATGTTTTTATTCTCGATTTTTTTCCCTCCGTCTCTCTGGTGTGGCAATGCTCTTGCAACACCTCGGAACCTACTCGACGTCCTCCCGGCCCTCACTCGCACCCTCGTCCACCACCAAGGAAGGCCCTCTTGGAGGTTCTCCCCACGCACATCACAGCCGACAACCTCCAGGGTCTGAGCCTATTTGCTTTCCTCCCTTCCCCCCCACTCCTCACCCGCACCCTTGTCGTCCACCACCAAGCAAAGGCCCTCTTGGAGGTGCTCCCCACGCACATCACCGCAGACAATCTTGAGGAGGTGCGCCTCGTGAATGTGACTTAAGAGTGACTCAAGCCTCCCCTCCCACTCCCCACCTGCACCGTCACCCGCACTGCACCCCCATTCACCACCAGGCGAAGGCGCTCTTGGAGGTGCTCCCCACGCACATCACAGCCGACAACCTCGAGGAACTGCGCCTGGCCAAGCAGGCTCTGGTGCGTGCACGTGCGCATGTGGCGAGACGGGTTCGGGTTCGGGGTTCGGACCTGGGTTGTTACCTGCCTCTCTTGCTGGTGTAACGGTTGTGATTAACGACGATCCGTGGTGCTGCAGTGTGAGATCTCTACGCTTTGCAGTTCGCTGCGTCCATTTCTGAGGCGCCTAAAAAATGTCTTCCACTCTCTCGTTCCTGACTACTGCGTGGCAGTCAGTTCACCACCCCGTTTCCTCCTCTCTCCGTTCTTTGAGGCACCTCAAAATTACTCTCCGTTCACCCACACCCTTCGTCATCTCCATTGTTTCTCTCCTCCTCCCCATCGTCCTCCTCCCCATCATCTCCTTCCCATCAGCCCCTTACCACTCATCTCCCCCTTCTTGTTCCTGGAGGTGGCGAGGACCTAGGGTCCAAGATGGGCGCACTGCACCAGATGCTGCTGCAGCAGCAGTATTGCTCCATCATCCCCTCACCTCTTCACCCCTTTTCCATCTCTCCACCTCTTCTCCATCCTCCTCCCAGCGGGGCTTGGGTCGAAGGCGTGTGAGCTGGAGCTGTGGCAGGTGCTTCTAGAGCTGCTGGCGCACACGAGTGGCCCAGCATGTGCCCTCCATCGTCTCCACCCACCCCTCCCCCTCTTCCCTTGCCCCTCTTACCATCCTCTCCCCAGGTGGAGCTGGGGTATAAGTTGGGCGCGCTGGAGCTGCGGCAGATGCTGCTGGAGCATATGTGCTCCAAAACCCTCCCTTCGTCTCAACTCAACTCCCCCCCCGCCACTCCCTCTCTACCATACCAGGTGGAGCTGGGGTCGAAGGTGGGTGCGCTGCGGCAGATGCTTCTAGAGCTGCTGGAGCACACGAGTGACCTGCGGCGGATCACAGCCATGGGCCGGCACTGCCAGGTCAGCAAGGACGGCGAGCTCGAGTGCCCCACTCCCGTCGACCAGCGGCTCGTGGAAGGTGAGGGGGGAGCCGGGGGAGGGGGGCTGGCAGGGGAGAAGGGAAAGGGGGGGGAGGTGCAAGGGTGGATAGCAGGGAGCTGTGGCAGGGAAGGTCTGTGTGGTGTGGGATAACGAGGGGTGGCTGGAAGGGGCCCGAGGACTGAATGGGAAGGGGTATGTAGAGCTTATAACTTATATGAGCTCTTTGCCCCACTGTTCGGCCTCATCTGTCAATAATCCCCCTCTGCCTGCCGTACCGTGTGCTGCTGTTTGCTGTTGCTGCAGAGGAGGAGCAGGAGGTGGAGATGCTGCTTGAGTATTACCTTCAGCGGTATGTCTGCCTTTGCTAGTGATGCAGCTTCAGGCTGCTTCCTTTTGCCATGCTGTTCTCACACACATGCCTCCACCACAATTCCTTCACAACAGTGCGAGTGTCTTAATGTGTGTGTGTGACTGCTTGTGGGCATGTGTGTGCATGCGTGCGTGTGTGTGTGACTGCTTGTGGGCATGTGTGTGCATGCGTGCGTGTGTGTGTGACTGCTTGTGGGCATGTGGGTGCATGCGTGCGTGTGTGTGTGACTGCTTGTGGGCATGTGTGTGCATGCGTGCGTGTGTGTGTGACTGCTTGTGGGCATGTGTGTGCATGTGTGCGTGTGTGTGTGACTGCTTGTGGGCATGTGTGTGCATGCGTGCGTGTGTGTGTGACTGCTTGTGGGCATGTGTGTGCATGCGTGCGTGTGTGTGTGACTGCTTGTGGGCATGTGTATGCATGCGTGTGCGCGCACGCCCGCGCGCGCGCGCGCCCGCGTGTGTGTGTGTGTGTGTACATTCATGCGTGTGTGCATGTGGCCGTTCGTGTGTGTGTGCACATTTCAGGTGCGACTCCTGCCATGGGCAGGCAGAGAAGCTATTGGATTCAGCCAGGGAGATGGAGGACTCTATCTCGGTCAACCTCAGGTGGGTCTTTTCAACTCATCACCATGCCCATTTTACTTCCCTCTCATGCCACCTCTCCTCTCCCTTTCTCACACTTCTCATTTCGCCCTATAATCCCCTCCTTTCCCCCCTCAGTTCTAAAAACCATCTGCTCCCACCGTTCTCCTCCCCTCCCTCGCGCTCCCCTCGCCTCCCCCACCCTCCCTCCAATACCGGCAAAATCCTCTCCTCCTCATGCCCCGTTTCCTCAATCCTCCCATTGTCACGCCCCGGTTCCTCAGTCCTCTCCTCCGTCCCCTTCCACCCGCCCATGCGCACCATGTGTTCTCTGCAGCTCTCGGCGGCTGGAAGTGAGTCGCTTCGAGCTGCTGCTGCAGGTGGCGACGTTCGCATCCGCCATAGGAGCCCTCATCGCAGGTCAGGCATCCTCTCCTGCTGGTTCCAGTTCGATTAATTCAGCTGCTTCTGTGTGCAACCTTGCTGCCCTTGCACTTGAATTGCTCTTGTCCCGTTTCCATATGGGCATTATCTTGCTTTCATCACTTCTAATCTCAATTGACTATTGGACCTTCCTGTATCACCTCCATCCGTTTCTCTCTCTCTTCCACTGCTCGTGCGTTTGGTTAAATGTGCTGGTTATGGCCCTTTTGTGGTATGCTGGTGGTTGCTGCTTGTGTTTGCTAATGACAGGAATATTTGGGATGAACCTTCGAAGTCGGTTGGAAGAGTGTGTCGTAAGTCTTCCACCTTTCACCTTGGATTGTCATGCACGGCATCTCTTCCTTACACGCCCCTTACACATGTGGTTTTCTCAGTTCACACAGCCTGGCGTTTACATGTCAGCCGATGTACTGTCACTACCCACCTCATCCTCAACCGCAACGCTTTTGAAACCAGCTTGCTACTCGTTTCTGTAAATATTATGCTGCTCTGAACTATGTTGCCCCCCCACCACAGACTGCTTTCTGGATGACGACAGCAGGCATCGTCTTGGGTGGTGTAGTCATGTTCGTGCTCATGCTGATGTACTTGAGGCGCCGCAAGATCCTATGAGTGCAATACCTGTGCACAGTCGTCGCGCAAGTAGCATCACACGTTCCGGTAGCTTATGTAGGTGGGAGGGGCTAGGGTTGGAGATTTTATTTGGCCCATTAATTTTATGAGCTGTATAGAGCTGTACATAGCTGGTTCATGAAACAATTTGGAAAGTCTGTGGGAACGGGCGCCTTTTGGGAACACGTCGAGACCAGCTTCTTGCTTTGGATGTGCGACTGCGATGCGTCTCGATCTACGGAATGGCATCGTAGCCGCACATCGTTTTCATACTCGTTGCAAGCATCATCACTACACCCGTCCAGACACTAAGGAGAGAGAGAATACTACAAAACAGACTCGTCGCCATAGATTTCTCTTCCCATGCCTTCTCCTGCAGAGATCTCTTGCAAGCCTCTGCTGCCGAATCCCTCAACTGACCAGCAAGCGTCCTCCTCCATATGTGCGCGGAAGCCCCTATTTTTTACCCTTGCCTAAAATGTCAGTGACACTGTTCTGCTGGTCCCCTTTTCCTTACCGCAGCTTGTCAGCTTCACCCTAGCCGCCGTTTCCGCTATGTTTAATCAAGCATGAAGCTCGAGCGCTGCCGTTTCCCGGACCGACTCTGTCCAATCGCGGATCCACCAATGATTTAGTGCCGTTCTTTCTTAATCGCTTCTGGTGATCGGCGTTTGTGCGAGAACCTCTGCTCGCCGCGTCAACCCCTCGCCAGCTTCCGTCGATCGCGCTTTTCACACCGCCTCCCCTTCTGCGTCTCGCTAAACGCCGCTGGTTTCAATACGGATCTGGACTTTCCGGGCCGTGCGAGACCGCCGCGCATCTCGTCTCCTCTATCACTACCAACGCGGCCCAACATTGCGTCAACCCCTCAAGACGCATCGTGATAATTTTCCACGCTCGTCGATCTTGCAAGGCGTATCATTTGTTTTTTTTTTGGCCCTGGACGCGATCTGCGGTGCTGTCCAGTCTACCATCCATCGTCAGCCTCTTCTTCTCGTCCATCGTCTGGTCAACCTTCTTTCGTTGGAGGGCAACAAGTCGCCTCTATCCTTCCGCCATCGTCGATTTCGAGGTCGTTCCGCAAGATCCGACGCACCTCCTGCAGCACCCTCCGATCCGCGGTTGTCTCGGACTCTGCTGCCGCTGGATTCCGATTCGCGGCTTATTGGATCGGCCAGTCTCCCCCCGCTCATCGCGTTGCCTGCGACGCGTCCCTGCCTAGCTCGTCCCCGCTGGGCTCGTCTCCGCTGGGCTCGTCTCCTCTGGGCTCGTCCCCGCTGGGCGCGTGCCTGCCTGGTTGGAGTTTACCTTCACCCGTACGCCGTCTTTCCGGGCGCTTCAAAGGTCTCACCTCCGCTTCGTATCTGCTTGTCGCAACGGAAGGCGGTTTCGCTCAAGGGTTTCGGACAGTGTGAAGACCAAGGATCGGTTGCGTGTCGTTCGAGTGAGCAGCGATCTTCGCTCCTCCATCATCTCCTCTCATCGCCACTCTTATTGACAGGCTCTAGTACCTCGCTTCGTCTCGCATCGTCTCGCATCGTCTCGCCTCGCTTCGCCTCGCCTCGCCTCCTCTCTCCTCATCCCTTCTTGCCTCGCCTCACCACCAGCTGTCGCGCCGATTCGATCGAGTGCACCTCGCCGGTCGCGTGCATCATCCCTCCCTCCCGATCCTAACCGTCATCCTCTGCTCTCCCGCGGCTTCCTGCCGTGAGCGTCCTTCATCCCGGCTTCCCCCCTGCTCCTCCATCTTCGGCTCCTCGTCCCTAGCCACGCCCTCTCCGCACTCGCCGCCCTCCTCACTCGCCCACTCTCCCCACTCGCCGCTCTCCCCACTCGCCGCTCTCCCTTCTCGCCGCTCTCCCCTCTCGCCGCTCTCCCCTCTCGCCGCTCGCCCATCGACTCCGCCTGGACGTCCTATTTTCATCTCTCCTGTCTACTCATCACCACATCCGCCAGTGGTCTATAGCAGCGGCATAGTCGGTTCGGAGTGCGTCTCAAGGAGGTCGCCAGCTTATCACGCTGACTCGGCGATTTCTTTCTGGCCATCGTGCCTCTTCACGGGCTCCTTCGCCTCTCATTCTCATTCGCCTCCTTCGCCTATCACTCGCCTCCTTTGCCTCGCGCGTCTCCCACCCACATATGCTGTCCGCGCGACTCTTGACTGGAACGTCGTCGGAGTCCATTTGAATCTTCAACGCGCTATTGAACGCGCTATTAGGAGTCAGGAGTCAGAAGGGAAGTGGTTACGCGTACGCGCTGTCAGGAGTCAGACGGCCTGCATTCAACAGCCACGGCAGTCCGCCTCCGCGTTGTGCGCAAGTAACAGCAGGGCTTCGAGATACCCGCTAGTCCCCTTCCGTCTTTTCGTCACCCGTTCCTTGGCCAGTCAACGCGAGGCCGCTATCTAGGAGTGGCAGTGGAGCCTGCTTCTCGTCGCTCTTTCAGGCGCCGTGAAAAGCTTTTCTCCGCTCGGCACGCGCGCCTGGGTGGACAGAGGACGCGGCGTTTGGGGGCGGATCTGTTTTTGAGGCGCCTCAGAAATATACTATCTAGGAGTGGCAGTGGACCCGCTGCTCCTCACTCCTCGCCGTTCCGTGAGGCGCCTTGCGAAGCTTCTCGTCGCGCCGCACGCGCGCGTGGGTGGACAGAAGACGCGGCGTTTTGGGGGGTGCTTTCTGTGAACAAAACGGCGCGGCGTGGCAGCAGACCTTTCGGCTCGGGACTACGCGGTAGCATAAGCTCCGTGGGAGAAATACTCGGGAGCTAGTGCATCGCGACGAGGCGGGGTCCTTGTGGCCGTTGCAAGCTTCCCTTGGGGCGTTCCATCGCCAGCACCGCACCGATCCATGATCCCTTGCAACCTTAGGAGTGGAAGCTGCTGCCAGGATTGCACTTCTGCACTTGCAACGATCGCCGGCGGCCAGTAGTCAGGCCTGTCAGTCTTCTGACTACTCCCTGCCTGCCGCTGTGTCACCTGGTCTACTCGCGGTGATTGATAAGCCTGCTGCTTCGCTGGGGTCTGTTGCTGTAGCCTAGGGTAGCTCTCTTCGTTGTGGTTCAAGTCATCCTCTTTTTCACCACCAGCAGCACCATCACCACTGCCAGCATCACCACCGCCATCACCACTCCCCCCTTCTCCTTCTCCGTATCCTCCTCCTCTCTCCCCGCTTCCCCACCCCCTCCACCTTCGCGTTTTCCTCCACTTCGCCCCTTCCTCTTCAACCGCGAGTACACTTCGCCATCCCATTGGTTGCGTCATCTGCTCCATCACCTCCCCAACGATCTCCTCCGATCCGTCCACCCGCCTCTCTGTGCATCAGCGGCTGGCGGCCATTCTCGAGCGTTTTTCCACCCCCCGCCTCCAACGCGCGCAGCTTTGCCTGTGCCTCTCTCGTTTCCACTCAGCTTCCACTACCAACCGTCCTCCGCCTCCTCGGGATCACCGGCGTATCGCCTGTAGTGGGGGCACTTTGCGGTGGGAGTTAGTTACCCTGTATGAGGTGCCGAGAGTCAAGCTCAGCTGCCTTAGACTAGCTACTGAAGATCTGCTACTCCAAGCCAAGTTAACCACACAAGTTCAAGTAGACTACTTGGTTCATCACCCCACTTACTCTCGCCGCTTTTCCTGCGGCTATAGCATCGGCAACGGCAGCTTCTGACCTGGTCTGCGTGGCCGTTGGAATCAGTCCATCTCTCTTAAACCCGAAACCTCCTTGCCAGGGGTGGGTTTCCCGGCGGTCCCTGTTAATCACGCGGATTCACTCTGCTTCGCGTGTGCCTGGCAGTTCACTCATCCGCTGAAGGCAGAGGCCAACCCAGCCAACCCAGAGGCGTTCAAGACTTGAACTGTTGAAGATCCCAGTGCGCGCTTGCTTGGAGCGAAGAGCGGCGTTCACCCCCTTCACCCCCGTGTCTCACGCACCTGCGCTACGCGGCGCGGCTTGGCTGAAAACAAGACTGCAGCACCACTGACTCATCCGTTCATCCCGGATCAAGTTTCAACCCATTAATCAGGCAGGCAGGCCAGTCGTCTGTTCGTCCGTCAGTTGGTCAACTACAAGCACCTACTTCCCACACTCAAGACCATCAGGCTGTCGCGATGAGTGGCAGCAACAGGCGGGCTTCTGGGTCCGGCTCATGGCACGAGAGGGACGAGCAGCAGGGTAGGCCTGATAGGAGCGGGAGGGATGTCAGGAATGACCGGAGCGACAGGAGTGAGAGGATCGAGTGGGTCGACAGGGGCGGCAGGGGCGACAGGGGCGACAGGGAGGGTAATGTGCACCTGAGAGGCGCGCCCCTCGTCCCTTCCGTGGACCAACCCAGGCAGTATGGCCAGCAGCCGCAGCACCGACAACACCAGCAGCAGCAGCTGCTGCAGCAGCAGGAGCAGGAGCTGCTTTCACAGTGGCATGAGCGTGGGGAAGCAGGGGGTGGAGCGTTGGCGGAGAGAGCACGGGCTGCTGCGGCGGCTGCGCTTCGGGAGGGTGAAAGGGCGGGGGGCAGCAGGGGGGAGGGGTGGAGGGGGGAGGAGAGAGAGCGAGGGAGGAGAGGTGATGCTGCGGTTATTGGTGCTAGAAGTGTTGGTTTGGGCGGAAGAGAGGGAGGTGTGGTTATGGGCGTGGGGGAGAGGGAGAGGGAGTGGGAAAGGGAAAGGGAGAGGGAGAGGGAGTGGGAAAGGGGGAGGGAGCGCGAGCAGGAGAGGGAGAGAGAAATGGAGAGGGAGCGAGAGAGGGAGAGAGACAGGCAGGGGGAGAGGTTGACAGAAAGGGAGAGGGATAGGGGGGGGGAGAAGGAAAGGGAGAGAGAGATGGGGAGAGCAAGGGGCAGAGAGCTGGAGATGCAGCAGCAGTGGCAGCAGCGGCAGCGGGAGGAGGAAGAGCGGTTGCTACAGGATATGGCTCCAATGACATACGCCCTGCGATCCGGGCTAAGCCAGCGGGCCCAGTACGATTCGTCGAACCTGGACGCGTCGAGATACGCTCCTTCACAGATGCAGTACGGTGTTTCAGCCACAACAGCCACAGCAGCCACAGCCCCCCCTGCCGCTGCCGCCACTGCTCCTGTTCCTGCTTCTGTCTCCCACGCTCCTGGTCAGCTACCGCCGCCAACGGTGATCTACTCTACTGCTCCCGGATCGGTCTTTCAGTCAGCGCCTATATCGAGCATCCAGCTTGGTAACGGAGAGAGGGTGTATGGGCAAGCGCCGGGGGTACATGCACCTGGCATGCCTAATATGGCTCGGGCAGGGGAGCCGCCTCATATGGTGCCTATGAGTATGGCGGGTATGGCGGGTATGGCCCCGCCTATGCACATGTATGATGGATCTCGCTTTAACGTTGTCTACGTGGCGTCTGCTCCTCCTGGTGCTGCCCCTGCCGTTGCCCCTGCTTCTGGTGTTGCTGCCGCTGCTCCTGCTGCTGCTAGTCTTCCTGCTCCTGCTTCTGCTGCTGCTGATGCTGCTGGTGGTGGTGGTGCACCCGGTCCACCCCATATGGTCTACTCTAACCGCCAGCCTACACAGCACGTGTTCTATGCTGCTACCGGGCCCACAGGCCACCTGCAACCGTCCCACATGCATCCTCAAATGCTCCTTGTCCCGGGCTACTCGCCCCACCTCCACATGGCACCCACAGCGGCTGCAGGGGCTGCTGCTGCCGCTGGTAGCGCCGGTGGTGCCGGTGGTGGTGATGGTGGTGGTGGCGCTGGTAGGATTGGACTTCCCGCCTATCCGCCCCATCAGGTTGCCGCTCCTCACACTGACCTTGGCAGGCCTCTCTTGCCGTCCTCCTCCTCCTCCCCATCCCCTGCTCTCCCCACCACCACGGTACGCATCACTGCTGTTGCGTCGCCCCATAGGGCAGGGGACGGTGGCATGGAGCCAGGCACGAGGAGAACGGTGGTTCCTGTGACCCTGTTTCCCAGGCAACAGGGGTATGCGGACGTGCGCGCGTCCATGCAGGGGCATGGGTGGGGAAAGGTTGATGTGGGGGAGTATGCGCGTGTGGTGCATGTCAGTGGGATTGATGCTAGTGGCAGGAGTGATAGGGCTGGGGAGACGGGAAGGGAGAGAGAAAGAGAGAGGGAGAGGGAGCGGGGGCGAGAAAGGGAGAAGGAGAGGGAGAAGAGGAGAATGCAGGAACGAGATAGGGAGAGGCTGAGGGAGAGCGAGAAGATTCGTGAGAGAGAACGGGAGAGAGTACGGGAGAGAGAACGGCAGGCGCAGAGGGAAACGGAAGGGCGAAGAGAGAGCCAGAAGGAGAAGGAAAGGGCGAGAGAGAAGGAGAAGGAGAAGGATGCCAACAAACCACACGATAGGCAGAAGGAGAAGGAGAAGGAGAGGGAGAAGGAGAAGGAAAAAGAGGAGGAGGAGAAGGGAACGGAGAAGGAGAACGAGAAGGAGAAGGAGAAGCATGATGATAACGAGAAAGCCAAGGAGCAGAAGCCAGAGAGGGAAAGAGCCAGGGAGCAGGAGAAGTTACCAGATAAGAAGAAAGCTCCAGGGAAGAAAGCTAATGGCGAGAAAGCTAGGGGCGAGAAAGCCAAGGAGAAGGGCGAGGAAAAGCCCAGCGCTACAGCCCTACCTGGCATTTTGAGTCGACTCAAAAGTCAGGGCGAGGAAAAACCGAGCGCTACAGCCCTACCTGGCTACATCTTCGGGTGCACGAACCGCACGAAGAAAGAGTGCTACGACCGGGGGCTGTTCGGCAACACGGCCACGCACAGCCGCGAGATCGAGCGCATAGACAAGGGAACACGGCTTTTCCTGTTCAACTTTGATGACCGGGTGATGCATGGCGTATACCGCGCCCGCGGCAAGGGCGGGCACGGCCTGGTGAAGGACGCGTGGCAGGGCGCATTTCAGTGGCAGGTGAGCGCTTGGGAGGGGGATGGGAGGGTGATGGGAGGGGAATGGGAGGGTGATGACTGGGTGATGCATGGTGTGTACCGCGCGCGAGGCCAGGGCTGCACGGCTTGTTGTAGGACGCGTGGCAGGGCCGCTTTCCCTGGCAGGTGGGTGTGAAGTGAGGGTGTAGCGAAGGTGGGTATTGTGGCAGTGAGAGCACGCGCGCGTGTGTGCATGTCTCTGTGTGGACATATTTGTGGCTTATAAATGTGTAATTCCCGTGCATCACGTGTGTGTGTGTGTGTGTGTGTGTGTGTGTGTGTGTGTGTGTGTGTGTGTGTGTGTGTGTGGGTGTGTGTGTGTGCGTGCGTGCGTGTGTGCGTGCATGTGCGTGCATGCGGATGCGCGTGCATGCGTGCGTGCATGTGTGCGTGCATGTGTGCGTGCATGTGTGCGTGGCACGGACCAGGTGCGTTTTGAGGTGGAGGAGGAGTATCCAGCACTGAAGGAGTCAGAGTTCAAGGCAGCCATAAAGGACAACGTCCATCACAACCGCAAATACTCTTTCAGCCTCACAGAGCAACAGGTGCCCCCTTCACACTCACCTTCTCGCCTCCTCCCTCACTCCCTCTCTCACTCTCTCACTCTCCATGTGCGCTCTTGTTTCGGCTCTTCTCCGCCCTCTCCTCCCTCCTCCAATTCTCTCCTCGTCTCTCTCTCTGTTCCCTCTTCCCCTCCGTTGTTTCTCCTCTCCTTTCCTTCTCTTCCTCCTCTCCTTTCCTTCTCCTCCTCCTCCCCCCTCTTTCTGCCCTTCTGGGTTATTCCGCTCCATGTCAGCTCTCACTGCTTTGACCCGTCTATATGATCAAAGGCGTCTATCCGAAAGGCGTATATTAGAAAGGTGTATCTGAGAAAGGCGTCGTCTGTATGCTGCCCTTGTCCTTGTCAACACCTTTCTGATCGACTCAACGCCCTTCTCCCCTTGAGCAGGTGTCAGACCTCGTTGCTCTGTTCCAACGAGCTCCCAAGCAGCAGGTAAGTGTGTGGAATCGGATCTCCTTCCCCACCTCCGTTTCCAAAAAGGCTTCCAAGGGAGAAGGGATGGGGGAGGAGACTGCAGTGAGCCCCCAGGGGAAGTCTGGAAGGAAAGAAGGTGGTACGGGTGTAGAAGGAAGGGCAGCAAGGGCAGAGGGAAGTAAGGAGGTCGCAGGAGTTAAGAGGAGTGCAGATGTGGCCGCTGGAGCTGCATGGAAGAGGGCTAATGCAGCTGAAGCCGCTGCTGCAGCAGCGCTCAGGGGGGTGGGGGGGCGAGAGAAGGGAGGGAAGGTGGCGGATGGGAGGAGGAGGGGCAGAGAGGAGAGTGGGAAGGAGCGAGGGGCAGGGACAGGGGGTGAGAGGAGGGGCATCGACCGAGGTAGACTGGGAGTGATTGGGGATGGCGCGAGGGGCACTGGGGGGGGATTGGGGAAGAGGGGGAGAGATGAGGGAGAGATGGTATTACAAAGGAAAGTGGGGAGGGCTGAAGGGGAGGCGGGGGGAGATGGCAGGAAGCAGTGGCATGTGCGGCTGGTGCGGTGTAAGTTACCCCTAAAGGTTGCTTCTCCTTCTGCTGCTGGTGCTGGTGCTTCTGCTGCTGCTGCTGGTGCTGGTGCTTCTGCTGTTGCTGCTGGTGCTTCTGCTGGTGGTGGTGGTGGTGCTGCTGCTGGTGTTGCTGCTGCTGGTGCTGAGGCTGGTGATGCCGCTGGAAAGAGAGGGGGAATGAAGGCCGGGGTGAAGAAAGGGGGTGAGAGAGGAGGATTGGAGGACCTGTGCAGTGGGTGTGCTAGGACGTCTCTTGCTGTTGTTGACATGCGTGATATGGCTGTGGAAGGGGAGGGGGGAGAGGAGGGGGGCGAGGAGGGGAAGGAGGAGGCAAAGGAAGGTGCGGCAGAAGGGAGTAGAGAGGACGATGTAGGGGGCGAATGGGAGGGAGAAGGGGAGGACGAAGAGAAGGGGGAGAATGACCGTCAAGGGCAGAGGACGACACTTAAGATTTTTGGGGAGGAGGATGAAGAGGAGAAAGAGGAGAGCGTGGGACAGGGGCAGGAGGCGGAGGCTGAGGAGAGGCAGCCAGAGGGTAGGGAGATAGGAGGGGATGCTGGAGGGAGGAGTGAGGGGGCTTGTGCTGGGGATGGCACTACTGGTGATGGCACTGCTGCAGATGGCACTGCTGCAGATGGCACTGCTACAGATGGCGCTGCTACAGATGGCGCTGCTGCAGATGGCACTGCTGCAGATGGCACTGCTACAGATGGCACTGCTACAGATGGCACTGCTGCAGATGGCGCTGGTAAGGCAGGAGAAGGGGTTAGAGTAGGTGGTGCGCAGGAAGCGAAGGGGACGGAGGGGGTGGAGAAGAGTGGGGCGGAGGGTGGGGTGGGAGCGGTTGATGCAAGTGGTCCGGAAGGTGCAGGAGACGAGATGACGGAAAGGGAGGGTGAGGGTGGGGACGAGGGGGGGGATGAGGAAGAGAGGGGGAAGGGAGAGGAGGGTGGGGGGGAGGAGGTGAGCAGGGGACTGGTGGTGAGTCGAGTGAGATGGTTGTTGGGGATGGGGGGGGGGAGAAGGGGTTAGAAGAAGGAAAGGGACGTTCAAAGGGTGAGGAGGGTGGGAATGGGGGCGAGGAAAAGGTCCAAGGGAAGGGGAATGGGGAAGTGGAAGGAGAGGGGGCGAAAGAGGAGAATGTGGGAGGAGAGGTGGGAGGAGAGAAGGGAGGTGAAAGTTGTGAGAAGGACGATGTCGGTGCTTGCGAGGAGAGGAGTAAGAAGCAGGAGGATAAGAGCAGTGAAGATGGTGATGGTGCGAAGGACCAGGGTGATGCTCATGCTGGTGCTGATGGTGGTGCTGGTGCTGATGCTGGTGCCGATGCTGATGCTGATGCTGGTGCTGGTGCTGGTGCTGGTTCTGGTGCTGATGCTCATGCTGGTGCTGGTGCTGGTGCTGGTGCCGGTGCTGGTACGGCTGCAGACGCTGATGCCAAGGGAGATGGTGATGCTGGTGCTGTTGCTGACGCTAATGCTGGTGCCGGTGCTGCTGCTGATGCTCCTGGAAGTGCTGATGGCGCTGCTAACGCCGATGCTGATGTGTGGTTTGTAGCAGATGAGGAGATGGGTTGATGAGATGGAGGATCACTCACAGTGCAGTGCATTTAGGAACTTCAGTGTTGAGTGAGCGGGTGATCTGGTCTGGTGGTGCCTTACGCGGTATCGTGATCTCCACAAAAAGAAAAATTGCATTGATCTATGCTACTTAATGCCATTGTGATGTCATGCCTAGTGTCACTCTCTGATTTTCTGTTTCATTCAGCTGTAGTTCTTCCCTTTTTTCCCACCTGGAAGATCGTAGTTTAGGTGGCTCCCTTCCTGTCCAGGTTATTTCCTTGCTAGACTACTCTAGGTGTCAAACAAATTTTGTATGTCTTAAAGGCTAGATAGGTGCGTACTCTTAGAGGGTAACTGTGTGCATCATTCTAGTCATCCATTCTCACTTTGATACTAGGTCTGTTCCAAGAACTGACTTCTGTACCATAGCATAGCACCTTGTTAAAATAGAGAGTTGAACTCTAGCAAGGCATACACATGGGATATATGGTTGGGAATTGTACTCTCTAAGAGCACTAACCCATCTAGCCTATAACTATACATATAGCACACATGTATAAGTTGGTACATCCCTAAGCTAGATAAGGGGTAGTGCTTAGCAAGAGACATGCAGCTCAGGGTGGCACTACTAGTCCAACCTCTGAGGCAGGGGTCCGAAGACCAGTCAACAAGAGTACTAACACAACAAGAGTAACTCAGGGCGGCACTACTAGTCCAGTCTCTGAGAGAAGAGCCACAAGGCCGGTCAGCAAATATAACAGACAAGCTAGTAAAATAAGGAGTACACAAGTCAGGGCCCTAACAAGTGAGGAGCTACTGGAACTAGACCAAGCTGCAAACATTGTCGCTGATGAACTTTAAAGATAATCAGTTGTATTGGCTCTAAAGGCTAAGTGTACTACGCGTGCCTGGGCAGTGCTGCTGTAGCTCGCGTAGGAGGAAGTACCGCAACTGGATGTGCTTCGCCGTGCCCTTTAGTCGAGGGTCCTGACATAGGAGGATCATGACCGTGTTGTCAGCGTACAGGACCGGGGCAGAGCTAGGCCGCTCACCTACGTTAGCGAGCAAGAACGTCAGCCAGCGGAGCTCCTATGCCGCCATGACACCAGCGTAGATCACAACCTCACAGCTAGACTATGCAACAGGCGACGAGCGGGTGGACCTCCACAAAGCGTGCGAGGATACTTAGAGGATATGCGAGATCTGGATGAGTGCAAGTCATCAGGTACATGAGGCAGCCCACGAGCTCTACGTACTGACCACTAGGCTCGACCGGCTCGTCAGGGACAGGAGCCGAGAGCCTGTGATCTGAGCTAGAGGTCTGCTAGTATAGCACGCAGCGTCTCGTGCCACTTACGGAGCGCCTGTCGCAGACCGTAGACCGTGCGCCGGAGGAACCACTCGGTCTTAGGAGGGAAAGAGCCAATGAAGCCTGGCAGACGGCGCAGGTAGATCTTTCTCGTGCAGGCGGCTCTGGAGGAACGCAGTGGAGAAGTCAAGTGAGTAAAGCTTCTAGTGGCGCTGTGCTGCTAGGTAAAGCAGCGCCCGAAGAGTGGCCATCTTCAGGGTAGGGGCGAAGGTCTGGAAGAAGTCAACCCCCTCGCGCTGGTTGAACACTATAGCAACGTAGCGCGCCTTGAACACTGGCGGCTTTCCAGGCGGGCGCTTCACCTTGAAGAGCCACCGGCCATCGACTACGTTCGCCCAAGGTGGGGGAACTGCGTCGACGTACGTGACGGTGGATCTCCAAGATGCCATCTCCGCGTCCATGGCAACTATCCACTGAGAGGCCCATGGTCCCGTAGTTGTCTCAGCATAGGTGCGAGGGGTAAGAATGTCAAGAGCGTCTGGGTCACCCTCAAGGGCTAGCAGCATGGAGCAGAGATGAGGAGCGACATCCGCAAGAAAAGATAGCTCATACTGCGTGTCCTCTAAAACGTTACTGCGAAGGGCAGATGCACTCCCGACGCACGGAGGACGGGCACGGTCGGAGACCAAAGCAGTGGAGTAGTCAAGGTAGCGGGTAGAGGCAAAGTTAGCGACGGCTGCGTCAAGAGCCGAGAGACTGGAGACAGGAACGGAAGGGTCGGTAACAAGAGAGGCTAGGACACGAGGAATAAGAGGGCGAGCAACACAGAGGAGGTCAGAGAGAGGAGGTGATGGGAGATCAGGAGCGGGAGGAGCACAAGACCCGTGGGAATGGAGAAACATAGGGTGGACACTAAGAACTGGAGAGACGGGGCGGGCACGGGAGGGATGGTGAGACCAGAAGTTGGAGGGAAGCGTCGGGTCAGGAGACGAAGAAGGGGAACGAGGGGGGAAACGAGTCAAGGACGAGTCCGGCGGAAGGAATACGTGGTCGTAGATAGGGGGAGAAGGCGGCGCCGGGGGAGGCACGAACAGTCGGTCGGTCGGGGGAGGCGGAGGGAATACCAAGGAGGCAAAAGATGGACACTGACTGCTGCTGCTGGTGCAGCTGTTGCTCTGTGCCGACACCATGACCTCAAGGCCCCACCACTACTACTACCGGTACTCGCTGATACAACACCTCCAGGACCCGCACCCCCAGGAGTAGCACCCCTAGAGGGAGCATCCCTTTCAGAACCAGCACCCCTAGTGCCAACACCCTCAGAGCCCTCCAGCCCATGCTGCTGCTACTGCTGCTGCGGCGACGGACGCATCAGGACCGGGGGTTCAAGCACTACACAGCCAGATGGTGCACCCGAAGCTTTGGGACCCCCATAGTCAGCAGGCTCCTTCGCAGGGCGAACCGAGGGAAGGGGAGTGACGTGAGATACACCAGACGGGGAGGGAGGGGAGTGCAAGCTACCGGGGGAGTGGGGACAAGGAGCAGGGGCGGGGAAATGGGGAGACCTCGGTGGAGGAAGCGGGTGTAGAAGGACACAGACTTGTCAAAGGTGACGTCACGCGAATGGAGGAAATGGTAAGACGGCGGGTGGTAAAAGTGTCAGTCATGAGCGTCAAGGGGGAAATCCAAGGAAGACACAAGGGACAGCGCGGGCGGTGAGCTTGTCCGCACGAGAGTCATGGAAGTGAGCTAGGCAACCCTTCACATGAAACGATGACACGTCACGAGGGGACCCGGTCCAGTTAAGGGTCGGCAAAACCTGCGGGCGCGAAGCGCGGGGCCACAGGTTAAGCTGGTGGGCGGCGTAGCGGACTGCGAATGGCCACAGAAAATGGGGTGCACTAGCATGGATTATGGAGGTATACGCCACCTCCATGACCAAATCGATGTGTCACTTAGCAATACCCTAAACCCTAGACGAAGCATAGGATGGGCGTGGTGGACTCGGGCAACCACAAGCCACGGGATAAGAACGTCACGCATGTCAGCCTTCATCTCACGGGGAAACTCCGTGGTGTAGCGAGAGTAGTCGTCAAGGAAGTAGAGTTCAAGGCGTGGCCCAGGGCCCGCCCCAAGGACCGGGGCTGGGCCCCAGACGTCCAGGTGCAGGGTCTGAAGTGGCACGGTGGTGGGGGGAAACAAGGAGAAGTGAGGAGCAGCGCACTGCCGCCGCTCGACGCAAGGCGTCCACGGAGGCACGGGCGAGGAAGTGAGGGCAGGGAGCGACGCATGGAGACCTAAGACAAGACCGTGCTGTGACATGTGACGGAGATGCGGGAGAGTGGGGTGACCTAGACAGTGGTGCCACAGGAGTGATGGATGGGTGAGCGACCGACACGAGCAAGCCTCTGCGACCTGCGCAGACGCAGCTACCTGGGGGGACGCGTTTTGCAGCGTGAACAAGCTAAAGACAGGGTAACACGGAAATGTGGTGAGGGGAGCACCACTGGCGGCCTCTGTACCGACTACGTACCGCTCATGTTTAAGAAACGTGGTGGTAACACCGAGGTCTTGAAGACAACCTACACCAACTAGGTTCCTAGAAACGAGGGGATATGCAGACCGATAAGAGAGCCAGAGGGAACCGCCGAACAGGAAGTGTGGTGGAGCCGCGGGCGACGACCGGACCGGAGGAGGGGTCTGCAAGGGAGACGGCTACCGGTGTAGGAAGCGGCGCGAGAGTGGTGTGGTCACGAAAAGAGCAAGCGAACGCACCAGAGTCCAACGTGATGGAGAGCGCGGTGGTCGCGTTGGCCAGCGGGGGGGCAAGCGTGGAACCAAGGCTACATAAAATAAGAGGTCCTAAACTAGGCAAAGCAGGGGAGCCTAGACTACACAGAGCAGAGGCTCCTAGTATAGGCAATGTAGGATAATAAGGTGTAATAACACTAGAGTCATCAGCATACATAGCATACAAAGCGGACTTGATCTGATCCATATCCATCTCAAAGACCGGCACACAGCAACATACCAGGCTGTGCCAGTCCGGGAGGGGGATGGGCGCACGAGCTGGGGCCGATGGGGCAAGCGGGGGCCGGCGGCGAGCAGGGGCCATCGCGGCGAGCAGAGGCCGGCGCGGCGAGCTGGGGTCAGCGCGGCGAGCAGGGGCCGGCGGCGAGCAAGGGCCGGTGCGGCGAGCAGGGGCTGACGCGGAGAGCTGGGGCCGGTGCGGCGAGATGAGACCGGTGCGGCAAGATGGTGCCGGCGCGACGAGCAGGGGTCGGCAGCGAGCAGGGGGGCGACGCGGCGTGCTAAGGGCGGGCCGCTCTACGGGTGGGGTGCTCTACAGACGGGGCGATATAAGGGCGGGGCGCTCTACAGGCGGGGTGTGCTAAGGGCAAGGCTCTCTAAGGGCAGGGCGTGATAAGATTAATGTAGGCTAGGGCAGAAGCGCGTGTGGGTGGGACCTACCTGCTCTGATACCATTTTAGAATAGTGAATTGAACTCTAGCAAGGAATACAGGTGGGATATATGGTTGGGTGTTTTACTCTCTAAGAGCACTGACCCATCTAGCCAATAACTATACATAGAGCACATATGTATAAGTTGATACTTGTCACCTATTAATAGACACCAGTGAGGCCATTTGTTGTAAAAAAAATCGCATAATGCACCAGTGTATTTGCATTGCAGTGTAGACTTCCCTGCATGGTATATGTAGCACATCTAGGATCTGTATTCATCTGCCTAAAAGTGTAGTGGACGTGTGATGTGGCTTCCTGTCAGCTTGGCAGATATGATAGATATCTTAGGTGGGAGGACCTCCTACCGGTACGGTACATGGCAGCTACCGCACTTAAAGTGCCCATAGTGGGTGACATGGAATGGGATGGGACAGAAGGGTGATGTGACGGGTTTAGGGTTCAAGAGCGTGTTCCTACGAGCTTCTTCCCAGTCTCACGTGAGACCTTGAGAGCATGTTCCCATGACCCATTTTAGGAATTCGCCCGTTTCATATTTGCGTTCCATC